TTGACCGTACCCTACCTGACGGTTTCTTGCCAAATGCGTCACTTTAGGTCTTGAGGCTTTTACATCGCTTTCAGGTATAGTCATCACATCACTTTAGGGCTTTCTGGTTTGCTGTCACTTCTTTAGTTAGTCACCACATCACTTTAGGGCTTTCTGGCTTGCTGTCACTTCTTGAGGTAGTCACCACATCACTTTAGGGTTTCTGGTGCGCTGCCACTCCTTTAGGCAGTTACCACATCACTTTAGGGTTTCTGCTGCGCTGTCGCTTCTTCAGGTAGTTACCACATCACTTTTAGGGTTTCTGCTGCGCTGTCACTTCAGGTATAGTCACCACATCACTCTAGGGTTTAGGGTTTAGCTGTCACTTCTTCAGGTAGTTACCACATCACTTTTAGGGTTTCTGCTGTGCTGTCACTTCAGGTATAGTCACCACATCACTCTAGGGTTTAGGGTTTAGCTGTCACTTCTTCAGGTAGTTACCGCATCACTTTTAGGGTGTCTGCTGCGTAGTCACCACATCACTTTAGGGTTTTCTGGTTTGCTGTCACTTCTTTAGGTAGTCACCACATCACTTTAGGGTTGCTGCTGCGCTGTCACTTCTTGAAGTAGTCACCACATCACTTTAGGGTTTCTGGCGCGCTGCCACTCCTTTAGGCAGTTACCACATCACTTTAGGGTTTCTGCTGCGCTGTCGCTTCTTCAGGTAGTTACCACATCACTTTTAAGGTTTCTGCTGCGCTGTCACTTCAGGTATAGTCACCACATCACTCTAGGGTTTAGGGTTTAGCTGTCACTTCTTTAGGTAGTTTCCACATCACTTTTAGGGTTTCTGCTGCGTTGTCACTTCAAAAGGCTCCGGTCACATTTGACCCAACCTCACTCTCAAAAGGGGGCCCTTGAGTTGCTCGTTTTTTACAACGGAACAGGGGCCCCGGTCACATACGACCCTACCTCCGGTCACCTTTGTCCCTACTGGATCGTTAGATACATCGAATGCTGCGTTCCAATTCCACGGCAGGGCCACGCGAAACGCACCGGTCACATTTGACCCTACCTCACTGTCAAAAAGGGGCTCTTCAGTTGCATGTGTTACAACGGAACAGGGGTCCCGGTCACATACGACCCTACCTCCGGTCACATTTGACCCTACCTCGTCGTGAGGTAGGGTCAAATGCGACCACGTTGAGGTAGGGTCAAATGCGACCGTCCTGCCCTCGGTGTCTTGTTTGGGAGCCTCAGTTTGGCTGGCTTTAAGGATCGGCCAAAAGGATTGTAACCATTTTGGGGGGGGAAGGGTCCAAATTCCAAGAACCTTTCTGGGGTCCTCACCTGGGCATGAACTTCATTTGGGGATTCCTTGTTGGACATCAGAAATACATGGGGATGTCTGACGTCGAACAGAATTTTCGAGGGAGCTCCAATCATGCGCGCGGCTTTTCTTAGGTGACCCATCTTAGGTTTGTTCAAAGGAAGATGGAGAAACCACCAGCTTTGGCGTGGAGGTCCAACCTATTTTGAGACAAACCCATTGGAAAGCCACCAAACTATCATACAGGAGATGCCCCTTTCTGAGATCCACAATGTTCATCTCTTTCCGTGTCTCTTTGAGGATAAGTTTCCTTGAGGAAAACCAACCAACCAGCCAGCCAACCAGCCAACCAGCCAACCAACCAGCCAACCAGCCAACCAGCCAACCAGCTAACCAGCCAGCCAGCCAGCCAGCCGGCACCAGACCAAAGAAAACAGCAGGCAAAAAGAACACCTCATTGGAAAACCGCCTCTTTGGCGCCATGTCTCCCTGCGGCGCCCCCCCGCCGCAAGAGCCGGGGCGCCGCGGCTCCGCCGTGGCCGTCGAAGACCCCAAAGAGCCCCAGGCGCCTTTCAGGGTCGAAGTCCGGGAGCGCCAGGTGGGCGTCCTGACTCTGCTTGGGTGAGGGGGGGAGAGATGGGGAGGGGGGGGGATGGGAGGGATGGGGGCATGGGGGATGGGGGGAGGGATGGGGCATGGGGGAGGCGGGGTTAGGGGGTTGAAGCGATGGGCGGCTCGAAAGGGCGAACGGATGTGTTGTTCAAACGGGGAAACCGAAAAGAAACCAAAAGGAAAAGGTGATTCATGTTCAGTACCGTTTTTGGGACCAATGGGCACCCCACAGCCTTCCCACAGCAACATCCGTAAGGTACCCCTTTGTTGGGTTGCTGTCTAACAAAGGAGGACCAAAACACTGAACCACAACCAAGGCGACCTCCCACCAACGCACGCATCCCACTCCAACCTACCCCACCGCACGCAACCAAGAAAGGAAGCGCACGAAGCAGCGACGATCAGCGTGCCATCATGGCGAAGATCGGTCAATTGGACATGTGGAAGGGAAAGCTGTTGTAAAATGTGCTTGCAGGTAACAATTCATGGTCAGCATGGCTAGCCGGTCCGGAGTAGACAGCCAGCTGGTAGTTCGACTCGAGAAGATAAAGTCTGACGAGATCATTCTAAATGAAGCGCGGGGTCCCTTCTCAGGAGACACGTAACCGCTTTCCTACCCGACCTCAAACACATATCTGAATAATTCGACAGGAGTTGGGTGAGCGACAAGCCACGGCCAGACCGACAGACAGGCGCCTCCATGTTCTGGCGCCAGCCCTGCATGGAGCTCACCCCAAAGGCATAGCGCCCGTCCACATTCCCCGCGCCATCCTCACACGAAAGGCGCCTGTTAACGGCCCCGCTGAGAAAACCCCCCCGCCCCGGGAGTGGCCACTGAAAAGTGAACCCCAAAAGGAGCCGTTTTACACGGAAACGAAAATCAGGCAACACGTCAGGTGGTTTGGATTGGTTTGGATTGGTTTGGATTTGGGATTGGTGAAATGGATTTGGATTTGAACCTCTGGTTGCAGGTTGGGCAAATGGGATTTCCCACCACCAAACCACCGGGGTCCAAACCACCAATCTAGGGTTGCCCTGATTTTAGATTCTGTCGCAGACTTGGTCACTCCTGAAATATGCACTCCAACCTGCAAAACATCGGAATCCACAAGGAACGGGCAAGTTCATTTTACCGAAAGTTGAACTCTCGTAGTTTGCCGCAAAGGTGACGAATCTTTGCAGTGGTCATGAAGCCTGGCTGCCAAATTGAGAGCCAGGCACTTCCCGGTGAAAAAGGAACCCCCGAGTTCACCTTCCTGGCTTCCCTTTCAACACCCAAAGGGTGTCGCAAAGGTTGAGGAAACCCGGCCTGAAGGCAATTCAGGGGACCAGTTGAAAACACCGCAAAAACTGACTCACTGCGACTCTTGCCTTCCCCCTGGAGCGTTAAGGACGGTTCCCATTCATGATCTGTATGTCGTGAACCTCCCTGACGCGGGCACCCGTCCAGAGGGGGTAAAGCGTCCCGAATTCCATTTTTCTGGTCTCCCCACAACGCCCCCTCCCCTTCAATTTTGAGGGAGGTGGGGTTGGGCAGCTGGCTGTCTTGGTCTCGCCTCGGTCTCCTTAGTGGTCACCGGCTTCGGCAGCAAGCCCCCCATGGCTTTCGCCCGCTTGCTAGCGCGAACCCGAGAATCCGCAAGGAACTTTCATAGGTCGCGAGGTCAGAAAATTCCCCTGTAGGCTTGCCAAAAAAAGGCCCAGACCAATGCTTGCTCCCTTCTTTGTGCTGGTGCCTCCACAGCACATGGTGCATGGGTTGGGAACACCAGCGGGAAATAGCCGAAACACTTGGCAAATATCGATCTCGGCAAGGACTTTCCTTGGAGCCAATGGCCTCGAGCACAAGATGTTCAACTGACCTGGAAATCTTCCGGTCGCCTTTGGGGACGCCCGGGAACAGTGGCTGCCAAACAGGGGAAGCAACCCAAAGCTGCAAAGATTGAATCGCTTATAACTGAGTGAAGGGAATGCATCAAAAGCCGGCCTGGTGTTTCACACTGCGCAGGACTTCCATGGGTTCTGGTGGAACGATACTAGTCAATCCCCAGGTCGAAGTGGATTGCCTTCCAGCAAGAGGCAAAACGGGGCGTCTCAAGCAATCCTTATGGATCTGCTCGGCTGACCCGCTGGGCTCCCCGGTGCCACTGTTTGAACCTTGTGGCTCTTGACTAACATGATGAAGAATCGTTCCAAGAAGAACTGCGAAAAGTTCTTGCATGGGAAGGACTTCCAGAGAATGAGTCCGGGAAAGTCTTCGGGATTGCTCTGGCAACGCCTGCCTGCTTCCCCCAACAGGATGCCCGGGCCGGCCCTCTTTGCATCGCAAGCTGGCTTGGCTATCCAGCGGCCAAGGGAAACCTTGAATTACTCATGTGCTCATGTCCATGGCCGAAAAATAACCATCCGCTTTGCTCCCAAGCCAGATCCGGATCAAAAATCCGCTAGGCCAAGATCACTCGTCGTTATTGAAAAACCTCCCTAAAGTCTTTGATCCTGGCAATGACCCCGACAAGCTTGAGGCTTGTCGCCTCAGAGCGACCCTCCCAAAAGGTTATGAAGGCTTCTTGGACCAACTTATTCGCCTTTGGAGCTATGCCAAGTATCGAGGTTGATGCTCACATATACACTCAGAGGGAATCCACGTGGAAAGGCAAGATTGTGTGTGTGTGGCCGTTCCATGCAAGGAGAGTCACCATGTGATGCCCGAAGCATTGCGAGCCGCAGTCAATATCATGAAAGATTGGTTAGTAAGCCCGAAATCCGATTGGCGATCTGGTAAGTGGATTCGGTTTCCCAATGTCATCCCCTGTGCTACAGACTGGGGTGAAACCTCCCGTGCACCTGCAAAAGCCATTGGAGAGGGCGCTAACGTTTTTGGTTCTGTGTTCATTTACAGGGCAGAATTGAAAAAGGAAAGAAACAAAAGGTAGTGATAGATTCCCGTTTAAGGCCAACAGGGGAAAATGAAATGCTTGAAAGATCTTCTTTTCAGCAAATGGAAGTTGCTCTCGGGTTGGACAGACTGGCGTTTTCTCCTCAGAATCCCTCCCCCACGATCGCTCCTTTTTTGACTTCGCTAAAGGGCTCGGAACTCCTCCTGAGGGCGTGGCGGGCCCTGGAACCAACCAGCCCAACGGAGCCGATCTAGGCAGAGACCACTCCCCCGCAAGCTTTCAGCTGGGAGAAAAAGGTAAGAGGCCCATGCAACATGGTGTTGTCCTTGACTGGATTCAACAGCTCCCGCTGGTCTTATTTTGGGGAAAGGTGAGGAAAAGGAGGGGGAGATTGGCTTGAGCATACCCGTTTCAATGGTTTGATGCCCAAACTCAACATAGGGGTTGTCCCCTTCATGCTTCTGTTACAGTGCTTCTGTCTTGAGACAAATCTCCTACCACATCGTTCTGGACCTTCATCAATAAGTGCTGCCGAGCGGCTCAAGTGGCTCAAGTGGCTCAAGTGGCTCTACCCCCCACCTCACCCTCCCAGAACCCCACCCCACCCTACCACCCCCGCTCCCCCCCCCCCCAACGCCCCAAACCCTCCCCCCCCCTTCCCCCCTCCCCAGCATCGCCTGCAGGCGCAGCAGCTGACGCACCTCCTGCTCGCTGAGCCCCAGCTCCTCGTTCTCCCAATCCTCCGCCGAGGCGCCGAGGAACCTCAATCAAGCCGCAGAACTCGAGCGCTGACTGGGTGGCTTGCTGTTTCTTTGGGTCCCGGGACCCACCCTTTTGGGCGGCGAGGGCTCTTCGTGTCCCTTTGAAACCAAGCAGAAGCAAGCACCCTCCAAAAAGGGACACGCCTGAGAACACTGCTTCCCCTGGGGGCTGTTCAATACTTAGAGCGGGAAGTGGATTTGGGCGAGGTGGATCAGAGCTCATACATCCCTTGCCACGGAACCTTGAAGGGGGGGAGTCCCTGGTTGCAATTTTTCTGGGACCCTCTTGGTTCCATGTTGGTGAATGGGATGATGTATTTCTCCAATCTGAATTCAGTTGTCAGTTGCCACGGTGTCAGGGTAGCACTGTGAACGACACTGGGAGAAAGAGGAGTCTCTTTCTTACAATGGCTTCTTACCGTTGTTTTAGGACACTCTTTTAACTCTCAAGCGCACCCTTGGGGGGCCTCATTTTGGATTATGCTGCAAAGCGAAACCAAACTGAAACCAAAAAAACACATTTCGAGGCGTCCCCAAATTTCTGAACCCCCCCTTTTGAAGCACGTCAAACTTCATGGCTGGTTCCATGTTCCAAAGGGGTTCCAATAGGACACCTGTGTAATCAACTGCCCCGGTAGAGGAGATCTGTTTGCCCGTTGGTAAATTCGGTCGTTTGCTCATTTGTCGCAAGCAAAACACGTTCGCATTTGGATTCTCCCTCTCTTGCAGTCACACATATCATACATACATGGGGGGAGAAGTCGGTCATCTTGGAAAGGCTCCTGCCTTCCTCGATTGTTGCTGGGAGGGACAGCCAAGCTGAGCCGTAGTCAAAACCTGATATTAAAACGGCCTACACAGAGCCATAAGGACTTAAAGAGACGGCTGCAACCATAAAGGTTGGCATTATCATGGACTATCCCTCACTAACCTTCATCTGCACGGGTTCACCCTCAACCCAACCTACAACCAGCCCTAAACCAACCCTCCACCCACCAAGGCGCATCTCCCCGCCGACTTTGGCCGCGCGCAGCGTGTCCAGCGCCTCCTCGCCCAAGCCTCGCGACTGCAGCCAGGGCAGCAGCTCCTGGGGTTCCGCGGTGGGGGGAGAAGAGCCGAATCCATGGGAGCAATTGGGAGAAACCAGAAACCTCACGCGCGAAACAAGTCACGGAAATTGGGAAACCCCTAAGCAAAAGACTTTGCATTTTGCAGCCCACAGAACAAAAAAGATAAAGACTAAGAGAAATGGCAAGAAGAGCAAAAGAAAATGGAATTAAAAGGAAAAGAAAAGAAACCAAAAAAAAAGAGGAAAAGAAAAAAACAGCAGCGAACTTGAAACGTCCAAAAGGGCAAAAGGGGACAGGGAAGTCAGAATTCTGCATTCCGTTGGAAGTCACAGATCCCGAAGGCGATAGACTAGATGAAAGCTTGGACACATAGAAACCCGGCAAACAAAGATGCAATTCACAGTCGCCACCAAAATGTGGAAACCCAAAATGTGAACAAGAGCATTAGTTGCTTGAGGTTCGCCCAGTGCATGAGTTGCTGTGATTGGAAAACAGGCTTTGCCTGACATGTGAGTTGCAACTTAAACAGCAACCACCCCTGATGACGATGCTTTGCTCAGTGCCTGAGCGCAGAACCCAAAAGATGATGCCAGCAGCAGGTCTTGAGGTGGGCTGCAAGTGCACATGATGAGCTAATCTCACTGCTCCACGGGTGATGCGGGCGGGTGATGCGGGTGATGCAGGTGATGCGGGTGATGCAGGTGATGCGGGTAATGATGGTGGATGCGAGAGATGCAAGTGGGTGTGGCTCAAAATTATACAGGAGGGGTAACGCAGGTTTTGGTCCATGTTTCCACTTAGCAGGGTTCCATTTGGTACCGGTTTTTTGAGCCACAGCCAAGTGATGCGAGTGATGCGGGTGATGCGAGTGATGCAGGTGACGTGGTGAAGTAGGTGATGTGGGTGATGCGGGTGGCAGATGATGTGATGTCGGGATGTGGGATGTGGGTGTGATGTTGGTGATGTGGGTGATGTGGGTGAGGTGATGTGGGTAGGTGATGTGGGTAGGTGATGTGGGTGATGTGGGTGATGTGAGTGATGTGGGTGATGTGGGTGATGTGGGTGATGTGGGTGATGTGGGTGATGTGGGTGATGTGGGTGATGTGGGTGATGTGGGTGATGTGGGTGATGTAGGCGGAGCGGGTAGGATGCAAGCCATTGAACACCGCAGTACATGCAAGCAATGAGAAATCTTGGTGATGTGATTTATTGATGTTGATGATGCTGATGATGCTGATGATGCTGATGATGCTGATGATGCGCTGTAGTATTTACCATGTGCATTGATGTGGTGATGTGGATGCTAATTAAGCAGCTTGCCAGCCGACCTACGCCCTGGACACAAGATGCAGACGTACACCCGGCAAGGAAATCGACCACACCTCGTAGCCACAGTCCGGCTCCGGTTCTTCCGTGGCCTCCTTTGACCTGCCGGTGACAATACTGAGAGCTGCCTGAAAATGGCCCAAAGGGAATTGGACACCCAACATGAAAAGGGTCGCAAAAACATCCAAAACCACCTTTGCAAGGGAGCCTGGAAATCAGGTGACAACATACGTACATACTATGCATGCATGCACAAAAATGGACACCCAACATGAAACGGGTCGCAAAAAACATCCAAAACCACCTTTGCAAGGCAGGTGATTATATACGTACATACTATGCATGCATGCATGTATGTATGTATGTATGGAAAAATATGGAAACTGCTTGTTCATGACCAACACTTGACCGTTTGCAGGAGTTGAGGGACTGGGCGCGGGGGTTGGGGGAATTTGGGGCAAATGCGAAGTCAAAAAGGTTGGTAATAGGGTGGGGTTGCGAAGACTGCGAAGACTTAAGTCGAACCTTCCCAAGCAAATGATTCTTACGGGGGAACCTTCAAGTTTCGGCCATGAAACACCTTTTACCATCCCAACCCAACCCGATAAAAGTCCCAGCCCTTTTGCTCCAACCGCTCCCCCCGGCCCCCCGCCTCCCCGACTCAGCAAGGTGCCGCGCTGCCGGCGCCGCCGCCGCCTCTAACGACCGCAGCGCGGCGTCGCGGTCGCCTCAGCGAAGCGGCGACGACGCATCTCCAGGCGCGGAGGACACCCCCAAGAAAAGCCACGGAATGGGGAAAACCAATACAAATATATATATATATATATATGTATATATGGTCCCGAGCTCCGGGTTCCCAGTCCCCCCCCCCCCCCAATGGTTCCCCCCCCCCCCCCACAACCCGAGCCCACAAAAAGGCCTGCTGCTGCGGTCCCCAGACCTCGGCCCCTTCACCCCCTGAACCACACCTCGGCACGCCCTGCGCCCAAACTAACCCTAAACCAACCCTAAACTAGCTCGAAACACACATCTTAAACCAACACTTGACACGTTCTGAACACATTCTAAACCAAGCCTGAACCAACTTAATCAACCCTAAACCAACCGTAAACCAACCTTAGATTAAACATCCCCGAAGCACATATCTTAAACCAACACTAGACTCACCTAAACCACCCCGCGCCACACACATCCTAAACCAACACTAAATACGCTCTAAACCAACCATAAACCAACCTTAAACCAAGCCTAAACACATATGTTAAACCAACACTGAACACACTCTAAACCAACCCAAACCACCCTAAACCCCATCCACACCAGAGGGGGGGGAGGACAGTGAACCATGGGGGGGAGGGGGGGGGGGAACTTGCAAACCTTGACCATACATATATATATATATGTATATATATATATATATGTTATATTTATGTATATAGATGTATGTCTACCGAAATATAACACGAGTCAACTTGGATCTGATGTGCCAAAAGGTGCCAAATTACTGGCCAAACCGAGGTAACCAACCCTCCCAAAGCCACGAGCCGCAAGCCCAAGGGGCGCGCGAGGTGCGCCACCGCCACCACCTTGGGCTCGTCAAAGCCCAGCATCGCCCCCACATCCTCCGTGCGCATCGGGTGGACCCTTGCAGGTCGATCCCGAAGCAAATGCGTTCTGTGATATGTAGGCTTGCATGTGTATGTATATATATATACATATATGTATGCATATATCTATATATATATATATGTATATCACACACACAAGCGCCCACCGCGTGGCCCACTTCGAGCTCGCAAAAGAAAGCACCCATACTTCCCCTGAACAAACCATTATCGGGATTGTTTAACCTCCCTATTGAGGGGCCGATGCCCAACCCCAAGTACGCATGGGTTTTGAAAATGGCACACAGTTGGGCAAATTAATTCATAGACTCGAAATGAGAAATCCTCTAGCAGGGTGAGCCCAGATTGTGACCTTTGCCAACCCAGCCAATTTGGATGGTGTCTGCTTTGGCAGGGACACCCAGGGCCACTGAAGATATTGAAGAGGCACCCACCCTTTTGCAGCGCCCACTTGGCATGGGTCAAAATTAAAACACCATGGACAACAGGTGCTAGTCCTTGGAACCTATTTTCCAGGGCTTCATGTTGGGTACCTATTTTTGACCCATGCCCACTTGGGCCAAAGATAGGAGACCCCTCCACGGGCGGCGTTCCCTTTGGCAGTCCCTTTCAACCACATAGGTGTCCTTTTAGGGGAAATAGATGGGTTTCCCTGGTTTTGTGGATTAAACCACCAGGTCAACCAGGAATCGCTCTCTATTTTTCGACCAAAACCACCAAAAAGGAGACCTATGCCGACCCCTCCGACCCATGTACCCGGCGGCCAGCACCCAGGGCGTGAGGTGATCCTTCTGCGCGCCGCCGCCCGCGGAGGTCAGCAGCACCAGGGGCCGGCCGCCGCCCAGCAGGCCCCGACACCCGCCCTCCGCCTCTTGGAAGCTCAAGCCTGGACGGGGTGGAAAACCGGGGGCCAAATGCCGGAGGGGTGGTGCCGAATTAAAGGCACTCCCATGGTCTATGGGTTTATTGCATGTCTCATTCGGCATGTCTATTGATGCATGTCCTCGGCACCACCCTGCCGGAAAAAAATAGGGGGGCATGTCCTACGAACTTTGATAGAGGACATCTGAAATACCTTGCGGGTTCAAGTTCACGACTTTTGACGCCGTTCCAGCGGATGGAAGACTCCGTCCACAGAAACCAAGGGATCCAAATAGTTGATGAGAGGGTACATGAATGATAGGCGGCTTGCTGCCAGCAAGGCCCGGCAGACCCCGGGGCGGAAGTTTCAAACATACAAAAGCGATGGTGTGGAGCACGATTCTTATCCCCTTCTATCTCCTTTTCTTTATCTTCCTTTTGCTCTCATTATATCTCTCTTTCTGTTCCTCTTTCTGTCTCTGCTTTTTGCTCTGTCTCTCTTAATATTTCTCTTTATCTTTATCTGTCTGTTTCTCTTTCTCTTCGTCTTTCTCTCTTTCGCGTTGTCCCTCTTTCTCTCTTTCTCTCTTTTGCTCTTTCCATTGCTTTGTCTGTGTGTGTGTGTGCCTCTCTCTCTCTCTCTTTCTCTCTCTCTCTCTCTCTCTCTCTCTCTCTCTCTCTCTCTCTCTCTCTCTTTCTATTTCCATTTTTCTGTCTCCTTCGCTTTGTCTCTCTTTCTCTCTTTCTCTCTTTCTCTTCTCGCTATCTGTATTTTTCTCTTGCTCTCTCTCTGTCCCTTTCTCAATCTCATTATCATTCTCTTTCCGCCCTGGCTTGCGGAAAATGAGATGCTCGCTGCATGGACCCTGGGCTTCTCCCAAGTCTTCCTGTTCACCATCCTCGCCATCCCAGGCAGCCGCCTGGATGAACCGCCCAAAAAAATATGGGGGCCCATTGGAGGAGTCCGGGTGTTCGGCGCCTGGGTGCAGCACGGCGTCGAAGTATTGCTTCAGCACCTGTGGCAAAGGCTGGAAACCGGATGACACCATCGAAACCTGAGGCTCAACCGTGTCTGCCCAATGTGGGTGTAAAGAATTGGAAAAGATCTCCGCACCTATTTCTGGTTAGGACTATCCCTTAACCTTCATCTGCGGGTTTGATTGTGGCTGACAGCACCAGCCCGGGTATGTGAAGGGAAAATTGATCGTCCGGGTATTGTCAGGGACTAGTTGTGACTAGGGCCACTAAGGACCATTACATGCGACATCATGTCGTCCAAAGAAAACGAACAGGAACCCCACGCAAACGTCAAAGAATGCCCAGTTGGAACATATGCTTGCAGTGCACGTCAACTGCAACATAGCATGCTTCACAAGCCGACTGGTGAGCCACACTGCTCTTCTTGGCCCAGTCGTGGGCATCAGAACCTTCCTTTCATCCGGGAAACGGAAACAAAGACCTGATCAAATTTATGGAACCCCCCCTCTGTGGAGGTAATTCGGGTCTCTGTTACTCTAATCCGGCCAGATTTAGCAATGTTTCATGATCCACAGAAAACCGGGCTGAAGCAGCCGGATGGGTTCGTTGGTCAACATCCGCCCCCTCTGCCAGGTTGCCCAGGGTACTCCGTAGTTCCACATGGGCGCCGATATCACCAGTCCTTCGACATACAACGTGAAGCTCAGACTCGAACCCGGGAAAGAGTCTTACCTTCGAGCAGAAGGGGTTCTACGTGTTCCCTAAGAACTACTCTGGTGGAAACAGGGCCCTGATGGTGGCCTGATCACCCATTCGAGTCAGAAGACATGGGACCTTGTTAAAGGGATCCCTGGCGACAAAGGCTTGCAGGATCGGTCTCGGGCAAGAAATTGCACAGTCAGTCTTGTGACAGGAATGCGCATCGCCAAGTCTGTTGCGTGCTCAGAGACAAGTCAAGACGCTGCAACTTCCCACTCGGAGGTCAAGCGTCTTGCATGCATTGCGCAGCCGCACATACGGTGCATTACTCCGCGGGCAGCCTTTGCCCTAGAGTCAGATGGCAAGAAGCTTTGCCTCTTACACGTCGGCGGATCTGGGCTGGGCAGCACAGTGTGCCACCTTGGGGAAACCGCCTGCCTCGTGCCGTCGCTATCTCCGCCGCAAGCAGCTCGATGTTGGCGAAGCACTGGACATCCTCCTCGGACCCGCGCTGGGACATCCTCGCCATCTTGGCTCGGACCTCGGACGGGGCTCCCGCGGAAAACCAAAAAAACTGAGCAGTGGTCCCGTTGGCTGCGAAAGAGGGAAATCCGTTGTTCAAACCAAAGGAATCCTTCTGCCACTGTCGCAGAGTTGAAAGTGAAAGGCTGTGCATGGTGATGCCCGTACGTGTAGGTTCTCTATGTTGCCTCAAACATCACCCCGCCAAAAATAAACTCGCACTAAATTGGCCCAAATGGCAGCATTCTTTGACAAAACCGGGCAATCCCCGCACAAATAGGGGAGGCCCACAAGGAGATTGCTCTTGAAACAATGGTTTTTGGTGCTGTGTACTCTGCAGGGGAGAAGATGCGCATCTGAGACTACCTGAGCGAGCTCCCAGCGACAAGGGATAAGACAATGTTTAAAAAAAGAGGAGAAGAGGATCTCAAAACTGCGGGGAGAAAGGCAAAGTGAAGAGCGGCGAGAAGAATTGAAAGAACCACAAAGCGGAAAAATGCGGGGAAAAAAAGCGGACAAAAGGAACAGGAGTGGGGAAGAAAACTGGAGTGAAGAGCAGAGGAGAGAAATGAGCAGAAAGAAATGAGACCGAAGTGGCGTCAGTGGTAGTGGGATGAAGGGTCTACTCAAGCCAAGTAAACTGTCAATAGGCCGGACACCAGCACCTATCTCTATCAAGGGAACAGTTCCCTACTAGGCTGCCCATGAAATCCGCAGGCTTGCAAATAATTGTGTTCCTTCACTCGTCCCTACCCCCTGAGTCCTAATCGAAGTCTACTAAAGGAGTCTGCCCAAAAATGTGCCACGAATCAAATGGGCGCATGTCCGCGCCTCCCTTCACTTCGGGTTGTGAGCGAATCTGAGTCATCCCAGGTGCATGCCGCAGCGAGTACTCCATCCGGGCTCTCAGCTCCTCATCCTCCCAAAGTCGAAGGTGTCGAACCTGGCAGAAACACCACGCGCAATCTTCGCACGCGCCATCTTCGCGTCTTCGCACACGCAACAGGGCCCTGCAAAGGCACATGTTTGTCCGCCAACCGTGGTACACTCGATGGTTTCGTTCAAAGCCTCAAGTACGTGTGTTTGGGTATATAACTGTACATATACATATATTATAATACATGTGTTCAAAGCTCCTCGAAGAAATCCTGCCAAAGGTCCAAAGCTCCTTCTGGAAGTTTAAGAGACTCCCAGCTGGGGAGAGCCTTTGTTCATGTTATTTTCGTGTGTGTGTGTGTGTGTCCATTGTGTTTTTTCATTTTGCTGGTTTTCCTGCATTTTGGGACCCTGGAAAGCAAAACTGAAAGACACGCGAGGAATTGTTCATGTTATTCTCATTTGTGTTTTCATGTTACTTTCATTTTGCTGGCTTTACTCCTTTTTGGGACTCTGGAAAGCAAAAATGCAAAAACTCGAGAAAATGTTCATGTTAATGTCATTTGTGTTTTCGCTTTATTCTCATTCGGGTTTTCATGTTGTTCATGTCTCGAGGACATGTTATGCTCTCCAGAATGCCAAAATGGAGGAACGCCAGCAAAATAAAAATAGAATGAAAACACAAATGAAAATAAAATGAACATGTCCTCGAGTTGTTTGCATTTTTGCTTTCCAGGGTTCCAAGATGCAGGAAAACCGGCAACATGAAAAAAAAAGTAAACACAAATGAAAACAAAATCAAAGTGCCGACATATGAAAAAATAAAGTCCTAAAAATAAAACGAACAAACAATTGCTTTTCCCACCCCAAGCCTGTGGCCATAAACATCTCTTAACTGTAAGTCAAGGTCATGGTTTCCTTAGCAGGAACCTTTTACATTTGTCTGAAACCAATGAAGAACCTATTGAATTTCAAGGGTCACATCTTTACCCCTGATGTATATATATATATATATACATGTGAAATGTTCATTGGTTTTGACCATTCGCCACATTGCCGTTCTTAAGGGGGCGGGGATTGACCAGCCCTACCCTCAGCAATGTGCGTCCCATGCCCTGCCTCCACCTCCGGCCGAAGCTTCGCAAACTCGGTGAAGAGCGCAAGAGCGCCCTGCCTAAACCCAACGGCAGGCGTGACTTTGGGTAAACGGTAAACGTGATTTTCAACATGGCCCAACGTGTATCTTGGCAAATGCACAGACTTCCCAAATTGAAAATCCATCGCGGGGCCGATGACAATTTCTTCCAAATGTCTTTGCTCGGTGCTTTCAGGTGAGGTGTGAGGTGCTGCAGCCTTCCTTGCCACTCAACCCAGCAGTCCACCCCTCTTGTCAAATCCCGATTGGACCGACAAGCCAATCCGCCGGCTCAAGCACCGCAAAGCATCTCGCATGAATGCGTCACAGCTCCCAGGTTAAGTGTCCAAGGTGCCCGATCACGGACTCGCTGCCTCAGGCAGTGGCTCTTTGCAACATGCATGCTTCTAGGAGTTGACCACCCAATATCTTCATTGTTTTGCTCAGAACTGCCCATGTTCTGTGTTCTTTGAGTTCTTCTCATGAAGAGAAGGATGTCTGAATAGTATGGAGAGTGTATGCCTGGAATTGGGAGTCTGTTTAGAACAATGGAGAACAGCTTGTGCGGCTCTCACTTCGGTCCAGGAGCACTGCCCCAGTCGAATGATGGATACGGGGGCCTCAAGATGTCATCAGCATCGCCCCTTCTTCTCACATCATCCACACCGGCATCGCTCAAAGGGACAGTCGCACAAACGTTTCAGCCGCATCTCCCGCAAGTCAACCACCGTCTCTAACCACACGCGGCAATCAGCAACTTGATCAGCAGCGACATCACATACACTCTGCGACATTCATGCAAATGGCTCTCATCGCGAGCACGGCCGAAACTACGCGCCAGCCAGTCAACAAGCATCATACAGCATCAAGTGTAGTTGCCTCGCATCAAGGACCAATCGCTCACAACTGCAAGCCGACACCTGGGTGTGAATATGACATGTGCTATTCATGAGAAAACAAATCGCAGAGGTATCCGAATTTCCATAGCCCTTCGGCCTGGCAATGTTTGGTACCCGACGCAAGCCCCGACCCAAAATGTTGCCAAGGGGCCATGGGAGGCATCCACGTGAAGAAGATGCCGCCCGAGGCAGAGTTCACCCTCAAGGAGGAAACTCTCACCAAGAAACATGGAAGCGCGCAGGCCCCATGTGGATGGTGGCAAATCCGCACAAATCGCACCAACTGGGATGGATGAAACGGGAAAACCTATAGATACTGGTTGATAAACGATCCAACTGGTGCCGATGGATTCGTGTGGATTGTATTCATCCATGAAAACGACTTCTTCTTTTTTGGAAGCATCCAGTCCACTTCGCCTGTTTGGTATCGAATCCTCAGACGCTCATGGGATTGTCCAGAAAACGAAGGGAACCGAACCTGAAAAGGTTTCGTCTTTCCTCTTGAAGTCCCTTCTAAAACCACGGCAAGAATGGGCCCCGCAAGAAAAGTATTATCCAAACAACGCACAGCTTCATAAGTCAAGCGCTTTCATTGCATCTGGACTACCTGACCAACTGGAGTTTGGCAAATCATGAGGCTTCCGCCTCAGAAGTTCAGGGATGGCGGAAGCCGACGTGACTGGCGAAAACCCTCCCCACCTCGCACCTTAAGATTAGAAGGCAGACAAGACGAAAGCCAACTGGGTGTCCCTTTTGTTTCCCTTTGGAACAAACCTTCCAAAGGGTACTTCCCCATTAACATGCCACTCCTTGGTGGTGGCCTTTGGCTTCCTTCCGCGAATTTCCAGAGCCTCGCCTGTGTCTGAAACTTCAGCTCTGAGGAGAACATGGGATTGCTCGGCCAAAGTGCGAATCTTGTCCAGCCCAAAACATGCCTTGTAGCTGCCCCAACTTCTCCATGAAGACTCCTTTAAAATAGGGTCCTGGGGCATGGCTTTGTCTGGGCATGGCCAATGTTTGCGCACAGAGAGGCCTATCTTGAGTAGTTTTACAAGGAGATGAAAACAAACCAATGCAATTAGCCCAAAAAGCCCACGCTGGCAGTGTATGATATGTGAAATCCCGGCCTTCAGTAGGAACAATCATTGGCAAACATAGTGAGAATCAATGCGCAAAATCGAGTGGCATGATTGCCCGGCATGCCTTTCATACTGCGTTCTCTTGCAGGTTCGACGCACCAAATGTTTCCTGGTAAGCCATCTCAGAGCAAGCGCTGCTTTTCGGACTCAATGTCGTGAAAGTTGCTCAATCTCGTGGCATGGAATCTGAGTCACAAGACACGGGGACTGCCCCATGAATTGCCGTTCGTATACCTGCAACGTGTCCAGAATCCACAGTATCATGATCGAATCCACCCGCGCGAATTCAGCTTCGGCGGTTCTTCTTTTGCAACATCGCCAGGCCTTCCCCTCCTTCTACCAGCCTCTCCTAAGGGGCGGAAGTCCTGCTTGGGGCAACAACCACCTCTAGTACTTAGGCTTGCCTTCAAGGCCAGCCCTTCTGGCGGCGGAAGTCCCGTTTGGGCAGCAACCACCTGGCTCGCTCAAAGTGAGTGCACCAATTCGCCGTCCACAAAGACTTGCTTCACGTTCCGGTCATCCCCCAGTGTGATGATCTTGAGAAGCATGTCTGCCTGGCGAAATGTGCATTTCTGCAAACATCACAGGCTCGAGCGACTGCCAAACATCACCCCTAAAGTCTTTCAGTCGAAATCATGGAGCAGGGAACAAGAGGCATGGGCAAAAGGTGCTTCTCTTGACACCACCCTGAAGTGGAAGGACAGAAAGACATGTTGCGCTGATTATTCTAAGTGGTACACACGTGTCAGACAAGATCTGTGAAGCAAAGACGCCTTGACGAGCCTTAATTGCAATGACTAAGGTGTCACAAGGAAAACCGATACCTTCAGACCGAAAAATCCATCGGGTTGTTCGATGAAGCTTCTGCACGTGCCAACATCACCCGCATCACCTGCATCACCCACATTGCACGCATCGCAAGCATCGCCCGCATCACTACCATCGCTAACAGCACTTGCATCACTTGCATCACCCACGTTGTCCACCTGGTCTACATCAGCCCTTCAAGCCGCATCACCGACATCACCCTCATAACCAATACCAACCCCATCAACCAAATCAGCCACATAAACCACATCAAACCTCAGCGACATCAATCACATGTACCCACTGCATCAGCCACATCCGCATCTCGCAGCAGGTGTCGCTAGCATTCCAATCTCTAGCATTCTAGCATTGGATGTATATTTTCCGGGCGCTGTCAACTTTGGATTTTGCCGGACCACATACTTATCATGGCAAGCAACATTGTTGACATCCCCCGCATCACCAACATCAGCACTATCCAGCATATTCAACATCACTAGCATCACCAGCATCTCTAGCATCCCAGCATTTCCAGAACTGCAACAGGGTTCCTTTCTTGACCCACGGCAACCATGATCCCACACGTTCTGGAACTGAAGTGGGATGGATTCCCATCCAGCCAACCACAGAGAGGGAAGGATCCATCGGCCATTCGCAGGAAGCTGCCTTTTGCCAAAACCGCCAATTAAAGCTGGCTTTTACAGCCACACATGTGCATGGCGGCAACAGTGGCTTGGGGCAAAAAGTAGTTCTTCCCTCATATTCCACACCAAACTGCCGACTCCAATTCTACCCCACCCATCAATCCGCCACCCCACCCCATTTCCTGGCTGGACGCCGGGAACGACGCCATTGGGCCCACCTGAAACGGAGCGGTTTCCCGTTTGCCCTCTAGAACCAGGGACCCGCTCAAACCCAAACCAAGTAGGAGTTTACCTGAGTGACTGTCCGGAAGAAAACAGCAACTTGAACAACCAAAAGACGCTATGGGTTTGGATCAAATTCTATACGTAAACCCCAAAAATATGGGCGGATCCCCACCGGCTTTCTCTTTCAAACAACCCGAAGGGCAAAGGAAAATGGGGCTAACCTCAAACGATCTGATTCATCCAAAGCCGAAAGGAAGCGGGGGCCCTCGCAAACCAACCGCAAACCCGTTTTGTTGACCTCCATTCTACCTGTTTGGTTTGTCAGAACCACATTCTTGAGCAAAAAAGCAGGGTGCCAAAACCATTCTGAGGGAGTGCCCATTCTACGACATACCCACATTTGCCTCGGTCAGAAACGAGTAAGTCCTCGATCTGTGGTGGAAATGTAGAGCTTGTCCCGCCAGATCCCGTAATTTGACCAAACCTCATATGAGCATGTTGTACCATACTCCCCCAAACATGCTTCAGGTTGCGGAGATGAAACAAAGCCCTCCAATTTCTCTTGGATTGGCCGAAACAAAGTCCTTCACTTTCGTTTCCCACACAACAACTTCGCCACCCCAGTGCCACATCACTCCAGGCAAAGCCACACACCGCTGCAAACCGTTTCCAGAAAAGCCACGCCCCAACGACCCGCGCCCAACCGCGCCCAACCGCGCCCCGCCGAGCCGCCTGGCTCCGCAGCCGCAGGGCGTCGAAGCGGCACCCCACCTCGAAGCTGCCCAGCAGATGCCCCAGGTCCAGCGCCTCCGCGCCGCCTTCCGCGAGACGCGCGGCGCAGCGCGTCGCTTGCTTTTTCGGGCGCTCGGCTTCCGTCGAAAGCGGAAGCTCGGAGTCTTCCAGTCGGCCCCTTTTTGTGGGACTTCGAATGGTGGCAACAAGAAACCGTGGATTTTTGGTTGCAATAGAACCGGGTGTATCACATGTCCAAATTTCCCCCTTGGAGGCGGTGGTTTGGGGGTAGTGGACACCATCTTAGACCGCCCGAACGTTGACTCATATCAGCCACATATCGAACCATATACTGGTCATTTTGACCGAGGCTCATGAAGGAAACCCATGGGCAATCCATGGACAATCCATGGACAGACTAACGTTGGCCCAGCTGTCACAAACCACAAGGAAAATCACCAAGGGGATGGAAGGGGCAATGTTGGAAAGAAGGTGTTGGTTTTCAAAAGAAACCACCTGTTGATGCGGGGGTCGCAAGCTGTTTTTTGCATCAGCCATAGCGCAGGCTCCTTTGAGGAATCCCCGGCGGATGAGTTCAGTTTTCCCTTATAGCTAGCACAAGACTATTGTCTCTTATATGCTCCTAAGGACATCAGGCTATGTTTTTTATCCGTGGTCAAGAGGATACGATTCCCTTGGACACTCCCGCCATGGTTTCTTCTGGCTTATTAATTCCATGGTTTCCTATTCCTACGGTTTCTTGAGGTTTCCTACATGCTTCTTGTGTTTTGTTTTCCCAACTGGTTTGTTGACACGGGGATCCGGACTCTCATCCGAAAGGCTCACTCCGGGCATTCAACTGGCCCATGGGTTGAGCCGCAACCATCAAAAAAAGCCATGCCTTGTTCCGCCTTCATGCCACACGAAAAAAAGAAGAAGAAAAAAAGAAAGAAGACAAAACACGGAGTGATGTTCGCGAACTATCGCCCAAAAAAACAATTTAACCAACTGGTCTTAGTTTTCAAGCTGCTGAGTCCGGGTTGGTTGAAAGCCGGAAGCCAGGTGCTGCACTTGGGCGCGCCTTTGGTGGCCAAGTACAGCGCCTCGAAGTGGCTCAGCTCGTCCTCGAAGGCGGCCCGGGGGTCCGAGGTCCCCGGAGTCCCCGGAGTCGGAGAAAAGTGGAAGGTCCAAGTAGAAAGCTGGTCCATGTCCAACTTAGCGTTCATAGGACAAATTGGTTGATGGCTCTGTCCTTCAGAAAGAAAAATGTGTGCCATCCCCATGGGCCCATAGGCCATAGAGTCTTAGCCCATGAACCAGGGCTGCCCTATCTGCAGTTGGTTGGGATAAAACTCATTCCCATCTTTACTTGGTAGCCCTCAGAGGTTCCCCAACCTGCCTGGACTCTCGGTTGAGTGGATTGGCCCAAGGCTGCCGCACCTCACAAAGCAGAAATTAACAACAACAAAAACTCCGCATGCCCCACTCAGTCCTCGCTGCTGCCTGCTGGAGCCTCCGCGTTTTTGGCCCTTTTCGCGCTGGGAGCCTCCGACTCCGTCCCAAAGGCGCAGCCCTTGGCGCGCGCTTGGGGAATCCCGATTGGCTTCGGCAAGTGGCAGCCATATTTTTCCCCCTAAGGGATCGGGTCCCGTATCCATTTGTCCAGCATTGGTGGCGGTTGGGTCCCTAACTCTCCATTTTCCGACTCTTCCCTACAAAAGGCGGAAAGTTTGGCAGCCCGCCCTGCCTTGACGTGGCGGAACTGCAGCGTCTTGGCCGCCATCACGGCGGACCGCATGGCAGTCAGCATGGAGGGCGAGTACCCTCCGGCGATGTCCGTGCCCAGAGCCACCTGGCGCTTTCGAAAGCGCTAGCCGCTCTAAATTGCTAAAGCAAGGAGATTTAGGATGGCTTCCAGCCATCGCTTGGGTCTACAACATGTCCACAACGGATTTCGGGTCCCGTGCCGCTTCATTGGAAGTTTTTTTGTTTGGATTCTGGGACAGGGTCAACCGATCCGTGGAAGTTAAGGAGAGCGTGGCGGTGAACCAATGAATTATTCCCCAGATAGCTGAAAGCTATAGGGGTTTTAACTCCTAATAAAGAGGGGAAAGTGATTTGCGAGATTGAGGGCCGGGTGCTAGGGGGCATGCAGTTTGAGGTGCTGTGGATGCTGCTTTGCGAGCTTGACGGCCGGGTGCTAGGGGGCATGCAGTTTGAGGTGCTGGTGGATGCTGCTTTGCGAGATTGAGGGCCGGGTGCTAGGGGGCATGCAGTTTGAGGTGCTGGTGGATGCTGCTTTGCGAGCTTGCGGCCGGGTGCTGGGGGGCATGCAGTTTGAGGTGCTGGTGGATGCTGCTTTGCGAGCTTTGACGGCCGGGTGCTAGGGGGCATGCAGTTTGGGGTGCTGGTAGGTGCTGCTTTGCGAGCTTGACGGCCGGGTGCTAGGGGGCATGCAATTTGGGGTGCTGGTGGGTGTTGCTTTGCGAGCTTGACGGCCGGGTGCTAGGGGGCATGCAATTTGGGGTGCTGGTGGGTGCTGCTTTGCGAGCTTGACGGCCGGGTGCTAGGGGGCATGCAGTGTGGGGTGCTGGTGGATGCTGCTTTGCGAGCTTGACGGCCGGGTGCTAGGGGGCATGCAGTTTGGGGTGCTGGTGGATGCTGTTTTGCAAGCTTGACGGCCGGGTGCTATGCAGTTGGGGGTGCTGGTGGGTGCTGCTTTGCGGGTGCTACGGGGCATGCAGTTTGGGGTGCTGGTAGATGCTGCTTTGCGAGCTTGACGGCCGGGTGGGGGACTGCTGGTTTGCGAGCTGGCCGGCGAGCTTGACGGCCGGGTGCTGGTGGATGCTGTTTTGCGAGCTTGACGGCTGGGTGCTGGGGGCATGCAGTTTGGGGTGCTGGGCGATGCTGTTTTGTTTTTCGAGCTGGCCGGGTGCTAGGGGCATGCAGCTTGGGGTGCTGGTGGATGCTGTTTTGCGAGCTTGACGGCCGGGTGCTGGGGGGCATGCAGTTTATGCTGTTTTGCGAGCTGGCCGGGTGCTAGGGGGCATGCAGTTTGGGGTGCTGGTGGATGCTGTTTTGCGAGCTTGACGGCCGGTTCTAGGGGGCATGCAGTTTGGGGTGCTGGTGGATGCTGCTTTGCGCGCTTGACGGCCGGGTGCTAAGGGGCATGCAGTTTGAGGGGCGGGTGGATGCTGCTTTGGTTGTACCGGGTGCTAGGGGGCATGTTTGGGGTGCTGGTGGATGCTGTTCGCGTGTAACGGTTCGTGGCTGGTGTATCGTCATGATGTTCCCACGTTATGGTGTGTGGGTGTAGTGGCGCCGTGATGCTGTCAACATCAGGATGATGCAGAATTTCATTAAGCTGTCGCAAGATGGTTCGTGGCTATGGTATCATCATGATGCTGCCTTTACCATCAGCATGATGCTGTTCGCATCACCATGGTGCTGTCCGCATCATCATGATGCTGTCGAACTCATCAGGACCTCGTTTTTGCTTTTTCCTGCCGGATTGCTCTCAAAATCATCATTATGCTGCTGATCTCATTAGGACGTTGTCTGCGCGTTTGTTTCATGGTCTACATCATCATGATAGTGCTGCGTCATGGTTCGTATCCGTGGTGTGCTATCTGGGGTCTATGCTGGTGTAATTTATTTGCTTATTATTATTTTCTTTTTCCCCAGATAGCTGAAAGCTATAGGGGTTCTAACTTCTAATACAGAAGGGAAGGTGATTTGCGAGATTGCCGGCTGGGTGCTAGGGGGCGTGCAGTTTGGGGTGCTGGTGATGGTGCTGTTTGAGCCGCTGGTGATGCCGCGTGGATTGGGGGTGCTAGGGTATGCAGTTTGGGTGCTGGCGCAGGTGCTGCTTTGGGGTGTGCAGGTGACAGTGCCGGCGCACTTTTGCAAGATTGGCGGTAGGGTGCTAGGCATGCAGTCTGGGAGGTGCTGCTTTGGGATGGTGCTTGGGGTGCACTTTGAGGTGCTGGTGATGGTGCTGGTGCATGTTTGCGAGATTGACGGCCCTGTGCTCTGGGAGTGCTGTTCGGGGTGATGGCGCGGATGGTTTTGGGGGGGTGGTGACGGGCGTGGCGGTTTTGCGAGATTGACGGCTGGTGCAGGTGCTGTTTTGGGAGGCCCTGATGACGGCCAGGTGTGTTTTTGCGAGATTGACGGCAGGGTGCTAGGTGGCATGCAATTTGGGGATTCTTGTGCAGGTGCCACAGTGCAATCGTTGGCATTTCGCTATCTGGGGTCTATGCTGGTGTATTTGTTTCTAAAAAAAAGAAACTTTGACCCAGACCTTCACCCCACGCTTGAGCAGCTGCTTCACCGGCAGCGCCCCGCTGGCAAAGAAGAAGTTGGAGAGGGGGCAGTGGGCGATGGCAGCGCCATTCTGCCGCAGAAGCTCCTACAGGCAGCGTGGGGGGAGGGGGGGAGGGGGCGGAGGGGGGGAGGGAGGGGAGGGAGGGGAGGGAGGGGAGGGAGGGGAGGGAGGGGAGGGAGCGGAGGGAGGGGGAGGGAGGGAGGGAGGGAGGGAGGGAGGGGGGGAGGGGGAGGGGGGCAGGTGGGCGTCCTGATAATTGGGTGGGAGCGGGGGGGGGTTGACAAAAAATAGGAAAACCCCCCAAAGAAATGGTGGGCGTCCTTTTGGCTTTTTTTTCAAACTAGGTTGTCCCAAAAAAAAGGAAGGACACACCCATGTTTCCCTGGAGAAGAAAGCAATTCTCGACTTAGTCCACCTTTTTGGTTCTAGAAGTGTCCCCTAAAATGTCATGGTTGTTTCCCTGTACATGCCGGCCTAAATGGGCTTAACCATTTTGAGACATACCGTGGGTCTCAGTCGGGCACTTCGCCACATGGAAACGATCTCGGAGACTCTTGGCACAAACCGCCGAGGTGTTTCATCTGACGGACCAAGGGTGCCGGGTTTCCAAGAGTCTTCCACCTCCAGCTGGGTCTTTGAAAGCTGCCGAGGCGCATGTCAGAAGCAAAGGCAAAGCACCCTATGGAAGCTGACTTCGGATTGCGGAAAGCCATCGAGCAAACTCCTCCTCGCCCTGCATCAGCTGCACCGAGTGGCCCATCATGGACGGGGATTTCAGGAGCCCGAACTGGTGGAAGACCTCAGAGAGGAAGCCCCCCATGAAAGCGTCCCCAGAAAAAAAATGCTGTGTAGCCTCAGTCATGTTTCCATGTTATTTGGTAGTGCTTAACAGGGAGACAAAAGGAACCCACCAACCTTATTACTCTTTGGGATCACCCCCAGACTTAACCCAAGTTTACAAAAAACAAGTGAGTTACCAAAAAACAATGGGTGGCCCAAGAAATCGGCATCCGTTAGATCCCTGCCTCGGCATCCGTCTGGCCAGGGAACAAGGTAGCAGAAAACTCCACCTCGTCGATGGATTCGCTGAGGTGACTCTGGATGATGCACCCGTACTTGTCGGCCAACCTTCCAAGACCCTGCAGAAGTTTCCTTGGATCTTCTTCTTCCCCTAAAAGTCAACGTGATTTGCTATTGGGATATGTCAGTGCGAAAAAGAACCTAAGAACAAGCAAAAAGTCTAGAAGCGTATGGCTGGGAACCGCCAAGTCTCGGTGTACAGGTTGGCAAAAAGCGAGGTGTCACCACTGGCTGCACCAAGAATGGTGCTTCACTGCCAGTGCGGCGACTCTGGGTGTACTGAATAAAGTCTTCGGTGTCTTGCAAGGACTGCTCTGTCTCCTCAACGTATGTGTCTGGACAGTACCTCTCCGGGGTCAGCCGTGGCTTACAAACCCTTTGGCCCGTTTTGGCCAGCTCGCTTCAAACGAAATGGGCGTCTTGGTTCCGTTCAGGTGGCGTCCCCGCCTGTCAGCACAGACCTTGCCCACAAAAGCCCTGGGCCCTTTTCTTTCAAGGGCCACATCCACCAACACCTTGGAGGCCCCCAAATGAAGGCTGCCATAGATCACGGCGGTGGTCGTGCCGCAGTGCAATAACACCTAGGAAACCAAAGCCACGCCCCCGCCCCCTGGGAAAAGGCTCCAAGAACGATCTTAGAAGGGATTCCTAGAAGAGTTCTGATCTTCTGAGACTCAAGAGTTGTGTGCTTCTTTGCTTTTGGGCTCGTGCAGGGTTCCCCAGATTTCCCTGACAGAACATTGCCCGACTGGAGGAATCTCCCTTTACGTCGCCACCACCAAATAAAGGGAGGCAAGTTCCAATGGAAGGAAACCTCCTCCCTTCGCCACTTTCGGCGCCTCCAGCGCTGCACGGTAGACCACCTTGGCCCTCTCCACCTCGCCCATGCTCTCCTCTGTGGGGAAAGCGTACTTCGCCAGGAAGCCCTCCGCTCGCAGCATGCAGATGCGAGCCGCTTCCCTCCAGACAAGCTTGGACCCCCTCCTCCTTTTAAACTGCTGCCACAAGCGTATGCGCTGTTGGGAGTGGTTGTCGAGACATGTTTGGATGGATCGCTCGGTAAGCCCGGGGTCGGAGGTGTTTTCCATCCCGCAAGAACCAGCTCAGATCCCAGCTCGGCCGCCCGGAGCCTGGAGCCTCCCATTTTTGAAGCCCGGATGCCTCAGGCCTCGGGGTGCATGAGGGGCATGTCGATGCCGCACCCGGCGAAGCAGAACTGGGGGAAGTGGATGTGCCCGTCGATGAAGCCGGGCAACAGCACCTCGCCCTGCTCCAAGACACGCACCTGGCGCAGCCGAAAGGGGTGTCAAACCCCGGGCACACAAACCCTTGGGATAGACTGAAGGGCCCTGGAACCTGACTGAAGGGCCCTTATCCATTCAGCGTCCCTCCAATTGGTGGCTTGGAGCCCGGTGATTTGGTGGTGGAGTGGTTTCTCTAGAAGAACCGGGGGGGTCAAACCTGGCGGGTTTCATGTTGGTGGTCAGGTTGCCAACCAACCCCCACCCGCAACCACTGTACAGCGGGTAGGACGGGTACTATGAACCTGGAACATTCATACCCACTGAGGTCTCCTACAGTTTTTCCTACGTAGTTTCCTGAGGATCGGTACCCCGTTTTTGTTGGGGGGATTCACCTGAAGGACACCCCAAAAATATGGTTGCCGGGTTGCCTGGTGGAAAAGGTCCATGTTTAGCATGGCCAATTCTTGCTGGTTCTACAAAAGTTTAAGATGTCCTCTTCTCCCAGGAGTCGAATGAGATACATACCCTTCATATAGTGGCCATGCAGTGGCTGGATATATAGTTTGGGGGTAGCTGCTTTTGTACATTCCCAACACCTCGCAGGTGGTTAAGAGAACAACATGCATAGCGTATACGTAAAGAGCAACCAACCGCAAAACAATTATTTTTGCCGGCGTTCCCGCTTTTGAGGCAAGCCAGAGTGTGGCAAAGAAAAGGTGGTAAAGGGGTCTACCTAAAACGGACTGGCGCCGATTTCTGCTTGGGGCTGTTGATTGTGCCTAACCTACTCCCCAGCCATAGAATCGTCCATGGCTTGGGTTGGGACCGGCGCGGCGAAACTAGGGCTGTGAAAGGGAAGCGGAAAAGGAAACCCGAAAGCCATTTGCAGGTTCCATACGAAACAAGGTACTGCAATGCCTCAAGAGGGCTGGTTCAAAGGTGCAGTTGAACAGTTGGCCCCTCCATGCGTGACCCTTCTTCACATCCACGTGTGTCTTCGATTTGATTCCAAGCGCTTTGTCTCAACCCTGAGGTACCTTCATTTGGCCATGGGTCAAAATCCAAATAGGTTCTAAAATGGGTGGTGAATTCACCTACCAACCAACATGGGATCCCAAAACGGTTCCCATTCAAATAGGTTCTAAAATGGGTGGCACACCTACCAACCAAAATGGGATCCCATTGGTTTTGACCCCAGCCATGTGAAGGCACCCAGCTTCCCCGCCTCCACGCCCTCCTGCTCCAGCTGCCTGCGCCTCTCCAGGGCCTCTGCCCCCATGCAGCGCTGGGAGATGCGGCCGTCTGAGACCACCAAGAGGCTCGGCGCCTGGCCACGGGAAAAAATCCGAAACGCCCGAGAGCTGAGGGCAGGCCTGTGGAGGGGAAGCGCACATGAGCCGAGGCGAAGGAGTTCCTTGCACATCTTTGGTCGCCGTATAGTGGGGACACTAATGCAGGGGAAACCACGAGAACCCATCTCGCATGAGGATTGGATTGATTTGGAACAGCCCTGCCGGACAAGAAACACGCCACTCTTCAGGAACGAACGCCTGACATCTTAAAGGCGTGTGTCTTCTCTGAGGACGTTTGCGAGATGTCAAAGCAAAACCGAAGAACAAATACAACCGAAGAACAAATACATTTGTTCAGGGGCCCACCTTGAGACCTCAAACCCCATGGCCAATCACCCTTCCGCCAACATGGAACCCACAAGGTCCCTTTTAGAGCCAACTGGTCTTCCAGGACTCCATCCAGCTCCATGTTAGTGGATGGAAGAGTAGCATGTAGTGCGCCAATTCACGCGTTTTGTATTCTTCCACATCGTTGGTCTCAAGCTTTTGCGCTGTCCTGCTCTTTGGACGGCTTCCCTCCAGTTTCGTGCATGCGAAGTAGGGCAGACTGATTTTGTGCAGGGGCTGTTGGAGAGTCTCTGGGAAGACAAATATGGTTCGCTTCTTTCTCTGAGAAAATGCATGAAATAACACGTCGATTTTGGGGGGGTTCGCCAGTACAACTAAAGACTGACTTCCATTGAAGGCTCTCTGTTCATCTCCGCACGAAAAAATGGTGACAAAAAGAGATGCTTTGAGTCCTTGATCAAGTCCCTTTCCCCACCTGCAAAACACCGCAACATCTGCATGCACAAGAAAGGTGGACGGAGGTGTCGCCTGAAGATAGGCCCTTTTTCAGGGGAATCCAAAGGAAACCGGCCAAGAGGTCAGCAAAAACTGCAGGTCCTACACTATGATCTTATGGTCCCATTTGGCCAATTCGAGTTTCTTCAATGTCCGACACGATGTCGTAAAGGCGGGCCGTCCGTTAGACACGATGTCCGTGAGACGCATCTAGGTCAGGTATGGTCATATAGTCCTGCCACACCATCCCTACAAATACGGCAAGGGGGTCACATAGCTCTGAGGATCGACTTTTGAATAGAAGACGTAGTCGTATTTCTCTGAAGCACTCCAAATAGACAGACTCAGTCTGAATGACTCAATGCCTCAAAGGCTTCTCCCTGTTCTCACCTTGAATATTATATATATATATAATATATATATATATACACGTATATATATATATATATATATAAAGCAACCCCTCCGTGCAACCCCCCCTCCCATCGGCTCGGCCCATGCCTCCAGGCCCCGCACTTCCCCCAGCCGCGGCGTGTCCACGCAGGTCCCGAAGAACGCAAAGCCCGCGGCCATGGCGCCTGAAGCGAGAACGCGCCCACAGGGCGCGCGCCGGGCTCAGGCGAACACCCGCGGTGGCCACTCGGAAACCAAGGGAAACCACCAAAGGCTGAAGCCAGGGAAAAACCAGAACCCGGCGAGGAAAGAGTTTGTTGTTGTTTTGGTCCAACCAGGTTCGAATCCGGAGTTTGGAGCGGACTGGGGTTTCCGAAATGTTCCGGAGGTTGGGGGATATCACCTGGGCTTATTTTGGGAGCAAGTTGGAGAAAAAGGAAAGGGCCGTCTTTTGGGCGAAATGCCATCCAGAAGAATTGCCAATGTTGCGACGAGAGTGCACATCAAGGAAAATGTGGATCGTTTGCACAGAACAGGCTCTAAGGAAATGGCTGCACGGTGGCAAAGGAAGATTAGGCTCGGTGGCCGATTCAGTGGTTCTGGTAGTGAGGGACGTCTGTGTCTTTGATGTGGGTTAATGGTTTGCATTTTGCTGTGACTCCTGGCGCTGTCACTTGCTCAAAGGCTTTGGCCGTAAGCTCAGTGCATTTGTCCTGGGAGCTTGGGACGGCCCATGCAAGCACCCCCCCGCCTGGAGTGTCCGCAGCTGGCTACAAGTCCTGCAGGAGCTTGAGGAGATGCGGCCGCGATTTGAGGCTTACGCGCCCGAGACTTGAGGCCCAGGGAAAAACGGGGGGCCCCTGGCATCCCCGCGGCTTCAACCTCCCCAAGGAGAACCTCAGCGGAAATCGGCGCGAGAGGAATGTGTCAGCACCAGGAGGCTGGGGAACCTTGCCGGCATGAAAACTGTGAACCTGCAACACCTGCCTCAAGTGAGCTGATCGCTGATGCCGCCACATAATCACCCGAATGGCGAATCACTGCGGGCTTGTCACAACAGCACGGAACCCGAGAATGAATTTGGGCTTCGCGATCGATTGGTAACTCTAGTCAGCATGTCGGGCGAAATTCGGGGTACTGACAACACTGTTCGTGTGGACGATCTGCTGACTGTTGTTCCCTGCTTTGGGCTGGAATCGCCAACCTTAAGAGCTGCAACTCGTCACAAGATGCTCTTTGAATCGCCCCATCTCAGGGAACGCCCCGTGCACAAGCAATTGGAGCATGTCCTTCCACCTTGCTGAGCCAGCAAGATTGCTGCCATGCCCAGAGCTGACGCTTTTCAAGAGCAAATCCATAGTCTTTGCGTCAGCTGCTCTCTTTGGCATGCTTCCTGTTCGCTCAAGAAGCTTCAAGACGAAAGCCGAGCCCGCTTCGCCTCCCGCACATACCGCGGTGTCTTCTCAGCATTCTTGATGCCAGGAGAATCTTCGACACCGCTGGCCACATCCACGCCGAATGGGTTCACTCCCGCGACAAGCTCCGCCACGTTCGAATCTGTCAGCCCGCCAGCAACGATCACCGGAACGCCCCACTCCTCCTGACATCTCTGAGCGACCTTCCAGTCAAAAGCCACGCCGGTGCCACCTGAATGGCTTCCTTTCACCGCAGTATCAAGCAGGAGAGCATCACAGACCTCGCCGTAGGAGAGCAGACTCTCTTTCAGCTCTTTCAGCTCGCCTGACGCTTCTCCCGGTGGTAAATGTGTCACCTGTCGGGAACACTCGTGGTAAACTTGGGCGAGAAAGGCTGAAACAAATAAAGGCTCAAACAAATGGGGTTGATCAAAAGGTCCTTTACATAGGAACCATCAAAAAAACATGGCATTTTGCCCACATAGGAAACGTTCCCTGGGGGCATATTGAAAAAAGAAAAGGGCTCAACTGAAGTCTCAGCTTCAGACGCGCCTTGATGAGCCACGTGTCGGGCAGCCGCTTCTGCAGTTCCTTCACAAAGGCGACGTCCTCCCCGCCGTGCAGCTGCACGGCGTCCACCCCGGCTGCCGCGGCCCTTTCGGCCACCTCCTCCACACTCTGATCCATGAACACGCCCACCACCAAGGGACCTAGCGGCTGGGTCAGTGACTCAAATCACCATAGGACCCTGGCCATGTCATCCACGGCTTTTGCTTTTTTTTTCCCCTTTTTCTGTCAGCTTGGCTTTGGCTTTGGACCTTGCCTCTTTGGCACGCCCTCCGCAATGCGCCGGACCTGGCGCAGAGGCTTTTCTCCGGCACCCGCAGCAGCCGCTCGCCCCGCTCCCCGAAGCGGCGCACCTCCTGCACCACGGCCGTGGCCTGGTCCAGAGAGGCCTGGAACTGCCAAAGGCAGGTGGGGGTGGATCAATATGGCTGTGGCTCAAAAAACCGGTACCAAATGGAACCCTGCTAAGTGGAAACATGGACCAAAACCTGCGTTACCTCTCCTGCATAATTTTGAGCCACACCCATATGGCCATGGGTCAAAATCCAAATCGGTTAGCCTATAGTGAACATCCGATTCAGTCCAACCCTAAAATGGGTGAATTCACCGACCAACCAAAATGGGACACCAAAACGGTCTTGACCCACAGCCATATTCCTGGCCCCCCGGGTGGGATTGACTTCGTCTTGGAGCCAATTCAATTTCAATCTCCAAACGCGCAAAACGCTGGGTGGACGAATGACCATGGCAACTTTGCCCATTTAGCGGGAAGTATCAACCTTTTAGCGGTCCCTCCAATGGTCATCCCATATTTATCGGACCTTTTGATCAACCCCCAAGTCCCCAAAAGCAAAACACGGCGCAGACCGGGCGCAAAAAGAAACGCGCGCCTGGCGCTTGGACTTGGCGAAGATGACGCCCACGAGGTTGGCGCCGGCCCCGATGGCGCAGGAGGCGTCCTCCTGCCGCACCACGCCGCAGACCTTCACCAGCACCGCGCCCGGGGCAACGGGCAGGGCCTCCGAAGCCGGTGCTGCCATCATCGACAGGATGGCAGCACCTCGCATTCTGGGCATTCTCCCCTCTGACCCTTTGTCCCCCTCTCATTTTACGGTTGACAACCCCAACCCGACCTCCCCCCCCACACCCCACACCCCACCCACCACCCGCCCCCCCCCCACCCCCCCCAACCCCACCCCCGTCCTGGGTCCACGGCGCGCATCAGCGCCTCTCCCACCAACACGCCGCTGCAGCCTATGGCGCGGCACTGCGCCACGTCCTCCGCGGTGGCCAGGCCGCTCAGCGCCAGGAGCTTCGTGCGCTCCGCGGCCCCGAAGGCCACGCGGCCCTGGAGCTCCTGGCGCCGAGGCCACCCGCTGGAGCCGGGGGCGCTGCTGGTGCTGGGGTTTGTCAAAAAACCGGTTCCCTTCAGACGATCTTTCGTTTGGTCAGCATCCCTTGAGTAATGTTTGCAGCACTGGGAAGCCACCCCCGAAAAAGCCATGGGAGGCACCCGGAAAAGCCCAAAAGGATGGCCGAGGCGAGGCGGGTCATGGCAGGAGAAGTTGGTGCGGCACACGTGCCGTGGTGGAATGCTTTGAGTCCTCCGCAATGGCAGCAGTTCTGTTCTTGTCCAAGACCAGAGTATGCAAGTTGCGGTTGTTGACGCCAATCACACTGGCGCCCACGCTAAGAGCAACCTGCGTGGCGCACATGATCCTTTTGCCATGAGGGATATGCAAAGGCTTGCACAACCAAGCTTGCATGTCCTGTCACGCCTCCAACTCTTGAGTCGTCACCACTTCCACTAGGGGTTCGATGCTGTTGTCCCTGCAGTACTTGACCAAGGCTTGAAGCCTGAGGCAGCACGATTGAGACACAGCATCAAAGTTGAGCGTGCCTGCCTGGACTTTGACAGGACGGAAACCATCAGCAACACTGTGTCGGCGCCGTGTGCCAACGCTTCATCCACCTGGTATTCCTTGGACAGAGCAGCACAAGGCGCCACATGGGCGGGGGGGGGGGGGCTGTCCAAAACAGATAGGCAGATGTCCGCCGTTGGTATGTTTCATACAAACCGAGGGATTCTCAGGATTGGGACGTGTGCACATGGTTCAGAGTGCAGCTCGCAAGCATCATGCCAAAACTATTCCGAAAGCGCCCTGGAAACGACTAAAGTTAAGTACGGCGGCTACTTGAACTGACTGTAGTAAATGCTGAACAAATGAATCAAACACGTGCTAGAAAACATGTCAATCATATATAGAAGCATATGTTAGTTGTGCGCTAGACAAATATTGGACACCTTCTATCATCTACAAGCAACCTAAACATGTCTCAGAAATAGGTTAGGCACTTCTACTCCGCACAACCCCGCCGAGGACAGTCACCAATTCCTGTAGACATGTTGTTTGAAGAGGTTGATTGAAGTCGCCCGACGCTGCTTGCAAAGCGCGCCGTTACGCCGAGCCTGACCGTGGCTAGAAATCAGTTTCTAGGCGATGTGAAAGCAAAGCGGGGACAGCTACGTGCTCCCTGATCAGTACACGCCGCAGTTGCCATACTCCCTAAAACAGAGCTGCAGGATTCGGCGCTCGACTCCACTGGCCTGCCTGCAAGTCACTCTACAGTCTCGCCTGCACCTGTCAGTTGGCTGTTGGCGCGGCCCCTGCTTCAAACTTTGGACTGTCACGGCCCTTCTTGTTTGTTCGTTTTTCAAGAATTTGTCGGTTTTGTTGGCGACCCGGCAAACACACAGGTCTGGGCCAAAACCCCATGCTCACAGCGTCCCAATCTGGCAAAAAAATGGAGCCTGCTAAATCGCGTACCTTCAAAAATTCCCCAAAGATAGGAGCAAGTCATGACACACTTGTTCAACACGAATTGTGGAAGCTGTATATACTATCAATCAGCACCCGCATGGATGCTCAATCCGCGGCCGAGTCGCGTCCACCAGGAAATCCTTGCGCAGGCAGGCTGGCCTCCGGCGACCTTCCTTTTGCGCCCACTCCTGGGTCCTCAGGAAAGAAAACACTGTGTTGACATCAGCAACTTGATATGTCCCACTGTCCCTTGCAAGCACTGAAAATACATATATTTCTACAGGCGTGTCCCAACTCTCCGAAGCCTGCCTGATGCGGACGTTGCGCAAGTCTTCCAGTGAGCCTTTGAACCATTTGGGCTCGGTCAGCACTGAGAGGATGCTGGCTCCCACTTTGGAGTACTGCAAGGCCTGGAGTCTGGACATGGCGGCGTGTCCAAGCTTCTGTCCTCTGATGCTAAGTGTCTGATCATCTGGGTATGGGTCAAAATTGAACCGCCAGACCGCAGGTTTTAGTCTTTCTTTCCATTCCGGGTTCCATTTGTGGTACCTAGTTTTGACCCACAGCCATCTTAGATTAATTGCATGCAGCTCATGGCACGCCTGCTCGGCGGCATCTAAGTCGGGCGAGATGTCGCCCTTGGAGGGCGAAGCGCGCTTGAACTCCGCGGCCAGGGCCAGCTTCCACGGCGTCTTCTCCGCTTCGCTGATGCAGTCCTCAGCTTCTCGTCTTCTCGTCTTCTCGTCTTCTCGTCTTCTCGGAGCTAAGCGAGGCTAAGCCCGAGCGTCCACCAGAGATTGCGGAGCTCCAAACTCGGCTTTGAACTTCAAGACTTCTTTCCGCAGGTCTTCGCCAGCCTTCTGACTTTTGGCGAGTGCCACATCCTGCCAGCGTCGAACATCTCTACCATGTGAACGTCAAACACCCCGTGTCCTTCTCCCGCTGTTCGACGATCTCCTGCAACTTGGAGCGCTTCGCCGATGGGTCGCCATAGCCATACAAATGGCCCTGGTCTTCCTTCTCCTGAGTTGCGGTGCGGCGCAACGTTGAATGCGAGCCAAACAATCTCTGGCCTCCATCAGCAACAAAATATTGACTCGGCTTGAGCCAAAAGAGCTACTGAGCATGTCGGCTCGAAAAGCGCTGCTTCAATGGATGGATGTGAGGTCTTCGCTTCTGGCCCGATCCACACATATCTGGCGTTGGAATGGTCAAAGCTGCCACGACGGGCTTCGGCTCGTTCCAGAGGGAACGCTGCGACAGGAGGCCTCTGCTTTGCGGCCTGCTCTGCACAAACCTCGGAAGGCACATCCTTGCTTGCCAAGAGGTCCCTTCCGCGGACTTCCGCGGCACATGCCTTTCATCGGTTGCTTCCGCAAACCTTCCGCGGCGCATGTTTTACAAGATTTGCTTCAGTATTGGTGCAGAAAGGAAAAGGAAAGTCAGTTTAAGATGTTTAAGCAAGGAAAGTAATGTTCCGCCTGAGCGCCTGCCAGTGAAAGCCAGGGCTTGTCGAAGCGAAAGCAGCAGGCCTGCAGAACAGGATGCAACGCAACGTCTGAATCTGAACCATCCAGCAGAGATTGCCCAAGCACGCCGTATCGGCTGGGCTCCATTGGGCTACTGCCTGCAAATGTTTTGGTCCTCTTGGCTTGCTGCTGGCAACCGCTCTTCCCGTAAGCAACACCTCTCTACTTCTGCAATCGTTTCCGCGTGGTTCTCCACCGACACAAATTGAAACAGTTCATAAGCCACAAGGCTCCAAGTCCGGAGCCCGCATTGGGGACAAATATAACCAGCGGCCAAACTCGCATCAGCGAGTTCCGCAAAACCTTCCGCGAAAGAAGACCCTTCCACAAAGCTTTCCGCATGCTTGGGCGTGTGGTGCGGTACACATCTTCAAGAATAATGCTCCTCTCCCTACTACTTTAGCTTGCAGGCAAAGAAACGCTGGTCAATTGGGAATGCGAGGCAAGCCAGCGCTGGCACGGCCGGGCGCATGCCACATTCAAGTCAACAAAAGAATCCAATGAACAGTTGAAGCGCATGGCGTCCACCAGATTAGGACAGTCCGCTGACCAGCATGATGGTGCTGCTCAATGGAGGCCAAATCTTCCGTGGAAGAGCTGCGGCAACACTCCCAAGTGCAAACTGCGCAAGGACTCGTGCAAATACCATCTTCTCAAGAGGGTCTGTGAACAACGCACGATACGAGAGGCCCCCGATATCATAGTGGTTTTCCCATGGCACGCGGCTGGGCTACCTAGCCTCCTTTTGCTGGAAACATTTGGAAACCCTTCTCGCAACCATGGCATTCCACGCCAAAGAAACTTCTCCAGGCGCCTGTGGGATTGCAGCTCGAGGTCTTGGACTAGAAGCCCACAGGCACTGTCGGCCTGCGAGCACTTCCTCCGATGCCATGGGGCAAAGGCAGCTTGCTGCATCACGCAAGTCCAACATGGTGTTCTCAACCTGCGACAGCTGATTGGCGTTGGAGAAGCGATTGAAAGCGTCAAGCTGCCAGGCACGGCATTCCGGCGACTCTGTGCATCCCCATGCAAAATATTGCTTTGGACAAGTTCCCTGCGGTGTCGCTCCGTTCCCCCACCCCACACTTGTCGCAAATCTAAGCAGACCAAGACTTGCCAGGAACGTCGAAATGGCAAGTCTAAACAGACGGCAAACACGCGCCCGGGTAATGCTACTTTTACTCGTGGTTCCCAGCAAAGCTAAGCTCACTCCCTGGGCGGCTGGGATGCCAGCGAGTCAAGGTCAAAGGGGGCGCGCCATGCGCCAGCCTCGAGCCGGGCCTTGGCGCTTGCACTGATGCGTCTTTGTTGTACTTGCGGCTTCTCTTTGGCCCCTGAACTTAAGCGCGCTTGCATCAATTTGCTCAGGGCCCTATGCTCCCTACGTGTCCTGCGAAAAACAGCAATGCGCCAAACGTGAAACAAGACAATGGCGAGCCCAAAAAAAGGAAACGAACAAGTCAATTCAACACGCTGCTTCCCAAACTTCTGCGATAGCAATGCGGCCCGCGCCTTGAAGAGAGACTTGCGCTTCTAATGACGTAATAGTGTGTTCGCATCTGCTTGCGTCGATGACACCTGCCCCTCGCGCCGTGCTCGACGGGTCGTAAGCGCAAATAGATTTGCTGTTGGAAGCACAGCCACGTTCACCTTGGCGCGTGGGGATGTTGGCTTCGGAGCAGCTGCCCGCGCTGTACTTTTGCTCGGTGCGCAGTGAAAACGAGCGCTTGCACTATGACCTAAAGGGAACCTCGCAAATTTACCACGAGGTCCTAAAGTACCTATATGCAACATTGCGAAGGCACTGCGAGCTAACCAGGCAGCCAACAAGGCAGAGTCGGTGGAATGGTCATGTGTCTCAACAACTGACATAGCGCGCTTGGCTGCGCAAGCCAGCATGTCAAGGGCAAAACTTTGCTCCTTAGCCTCTGCAAGCATAGTGAAGCCAAAGCTCAGATGGAGTGCGAAACATTCGACTGGCAACGGCCGCTGTAAGGAAGCAGTCCTTGCATTACTTGTGTTGTGTAACTTACATCTGCATCAGCATTCTTCTGCTGCTTGAGGTCGGTTGGTGGAAGTTGGGTCTGGGGCCCAAGCACTGAGACAGCAGCCCAACATGCGTCTGCCGGGCATCCCTACAAATGCTTCATTCAGCAATGCGCTGGACGGACTCCTGCCTCATGTGTCTGCCTTGCTGGGCCCAAAGATCTGGCAGGGCGGATGGCAAGCGCCCTGGAAAGTGTTTCATACGATGCACGCTGTGCCACTGATGCGTATGAATTGATTCACTTGTCATGATCTATAAGCCCAAGAAAGCTTCACAGTTGCGCTCCTTCATCATGGCTGAGGTGCTCGCTATGCTTAACACAGAAACATCCTCTTGGGCAACACTCGGAGTTCCTTTGCAAGGGTCAACTCGCGCGCTCTTCCACCTCAACGAGCTCAGCTGGCTAATTACCCGCGGTTCGGCGAACTGAGCAAGTGTGCGTGAAAAAAGCCAAACACTTCGGCGTTGGGCCGAGCTTCTGACGTCACCGGCACGCCTGTTCAGAAACCTGCCCCACACACATGATGACCGTATCACCCCGCTTTACAGCGCAGAGCAGGCCTTGCCAATGGAACAGAGGTGAAAGGAGTGAGCTGTCCTGTTCCATTTCTTGGTTTGCTTGGAGTTGTGCTGCAGCTATGGAAATGTGCGTTGTTTACCTACATCAGCTTCTTTGGTGTGGCTGCCTCTAGCTTCCAACAGGTTTTCCGTTGGAATTGAAAGTTGGCTCTTGCACAGAAAGCCGCAGCCCGCTGAGACTTCCGCAGACCCTTCTGCATCCTTGTTGTGCGCCAATCCCTTCCGCAGCCGCAGACTTCCGCGGCACATGTCTTTGTTGCTTGAGCTTACAAGATTTGCTTCAGTATTGCGTATTGCCTTCCATATCACTCCGCTTTTCAGCGCCGGGCAGGCCTTGCCATTGGAACAAAGGTGAAAGGAGCTAAAGTGAGCTGTCCTGTTCCATTCCTTGTTTTGCTTGGAGTTGTGCTGCAGCTATGGAAATTTGGGTCGTTTACCCACATCAGCTTCTTTGGCTGCCTCTAGCTTCCAACAGGCTTTCCGTTGGAATTTGCCGGCTCCCGAAAGTTTGCACAGAAAGCAGGCTGCTAGAAGGCGATGTGTTACGCGCTCTCATGATCCGAGCTGCTGATTTTTTGTTCGCTGAATATCACGATGCATGGTCAAGGATCTGTTGTCAGCCGCATTCTTCGAGCCCCTTCTTGTCGGTGAATCTCTCCGGTCGCCAACACAAAGCGGGCTGCACCCAAACGGACTCCCCAGCTGGGGCCTCATCTCCCCCCAACCCGGATGCTGCTGGGAGGGGCAACTCACACAAGGCCCTCAGTAGCCTCGGTGGCCAGCGGGTCCTCCTTCAATCCCTTGTCAGACTGTTGGCATTTTAACAAGCCAGCTTTGCGGCGACAATGCCAGCGGTCACGACCACACTGTTGCGTTTGAGTCCAACAACGCATGGGTGCGGGAAGCCTGACCGCTAACCCGTGACATGGGCGTTTGAATGGCCATGTCAGCACGCACTATATGTACGCTGCAAACCAAAACGACGTCCGCTATTGCCTCCAAGACAACGGCAGCGAGCATGGCATGTTCAATGCTTTTCCTTGAACATCCTAGGTCATCCTGAAAGGAAAACACAAGGGATGGTGTAGCAGGTTCATTCCCTCATGTTCTGCTGAGCACCAGCAAGTCTGGGCAGTTCGTCTTGGGATAGATATGGTGTGCTCAGCAGATTCCTGCTGCACGTCCTGGGTAGAATACTGCAAAAAACCGACCAGCAAGGTGCAAAGGCGCAAAGGTGATGATAGCAGCCGCCAATGCAAACCAGCGAAGGGCCACCGACTCAACAGGGGTCCACTACTTGTTGGCCTGCACTTGACTCAGTCTATGCTCTTGGCGCGGGTGACAATGTTGGAACGCCCCTCCCAGGTTTCGAAGGCTCGGTAAACCCTGGTGTACCCTGTCCAATGGAAGTGGACAAAAATGACCCCCTCAAAAACCAGAGTGACCAATCATGAAAAGCGGACAACATGACCTCCCCAACAAAAAAGCAAGAAGTATAGTTGTCCCACACCTTCCAAACGTCTCTGCACTCGGGCGGTTTTCGGCACGAACAAATTGTCAAAGCGAATTCCAGAAATCCTGCCTTGGCACGCGGCGATCGGCCCTGCCAAGGTACCCAAAAAACATATCAGACACTAAAACTTTGCGGCGCGTTTGAACAAACCCGCGAACCGACCTGTTTCGGAAGACACGCGTTCTATCAGCAAATGTCTTGCAGCTCTGACTTTTTGCTCTCTCGACACGACGCTCTTCGAAATATAGAAGCAGGAATGGTAGGATGTCCCACCAGCCATGAGGCTGGCCCAAGTCCCGTGTCCTGTTTTCCGCAAACCCAGCGCAGCGCACAGCTGGCACTGCAGGGTTAGTCGATGTCTTTCTCAGAGTTGGCCCCTCTTCGGTGGTTGCGAAAGGCAAACTGTACGGAAACCAAACATGTTGGGGCCCCTCATGTTGAGACATACCGAAATGGCTTCATGCGTGGCCAGCCACAAGCAAGTCCTGAGCACGTCGGCTCGAAAAGCGCTGCTTCGATGGATGGGTGTGAGGTCTTCGCTTCTGGCCCGATCCACACATATCTGGCGCTGGAATGGTCAAAGCTGCCACGATGGGCTGCAAATCTTCCATGGAAGAACTGCGGCAACTCTCCGAAGTTGGGCAAACTTTGCGAGGACTCGTGCAAATACCATCTTCTCAAGAGGGTCTGTGAACAACGCACGATACGAGAGGCCCCCGATATCATAGTGGTCGTCCCATGGCACGCGGCTGGGCTACCTAGCCTCCTTTTGCTGGAAACATTTGGAAACCCTTCTCGCAACCATGGCATTCCACGCCAAAGAAACTTCTCCAGGCGCCTGTGGGATTGCAGCTCGAGGTCTTGGACTAGAAGCCCACAGGCACTGTCGGCCTGCGAGCACTTCCTCCGATGCCATGGGGCAAAGGCAGCTTGCTGCATCACGCAAGTCCGGCATGGTGTTCTCAACCTGCGACAGCTGATTGGCGTTGGAGAGGCGATTGAAAGCGTCAAGCTGCCAGGAACGGCATTCCGGCGACTCTGTGCATCGCCATGCAAAACATATTGCTTTGGACAAGTTCTCTGCGGTGTCGCTCCGTTCCCCCACCCCACAGTTGTTGCAAATCTAAGCAGACGGACAAACATGCGTCCGGGCAAGCTGTAGCGGCACGGCAGCAGGTGGGAAACCAGTCCAGCCCAGACTTGCCAGGAACGTCGAAATGGCAAGTCTAAACAAACGGCAAGCAGACGACGGCAAGCACGCGCCCGGGTAATGCTACTTTTACCCGGACAGGACGTGGATCGCTTGCAGCCGGAATGTAGTCGCTCGCCGGCGCAAGCCAAGCCCAGCAAAGCTGACTCCGGCTGACTCCCCAAAAACCTGGTTGTTGGGAAATCCCCACGTCAACCTGCCCTGACACCCCAACTGCTGTGGGGTGTCCCTTTGGGAAATGCGGCAAAGCACCCCATGACCCTGGGCGGCTGGGATGCCAGCGAATCAAAGTAAAGGGGGCACGCCATGCGCCAGCCGCGAGCCGGGCATTGGCGCTTGCTGACTGATGCGTCTTTGTTGTACTTGCGGCTTCGCTTTGGCCCCTGAACTTAAGCGCGCTTGCATCAATTTGCTCAGGGCCCTATGCTCCCTACGTGTCCTGCGAAAAACAGCAATGCGCCAAACGTGAAACAAGACAATGGCGAGCCCAAAAAAAAGGCCACGAACAAGTCAATTCAACACGCGCTGCTTCCCAAACTTCTGCGACATCAACGCGGCCCGCGCTTTGAAGAGAGACTTGCGTTTCTAATGACGTAATAGTGTGTTCGCATCTGCTTGCAACGTCGATGACACCTGCCTCCAGCGCAGTGCTCGTAGATTTCCTGCGGTGCAAAGTTGGATGCCTGTTGCGCAGTACACGTGCTGGGCGCTCTTGTGGCCGCCGTCAGTAAGCGCAGCCACGTTCACCTTGGTTTGCTCACACTTCGCTCCCACGCAGGAGGCGCGTGGGGATGTTGGCTTCGGGCAGCTGCTGCCCGCGCTGTACTTTTGCTCGGTGCGCAGTGAAAACGAGCGCTTGCACTATGACCTAAAGGGAACCTTTCAAATTTACCACAAGATCCTAAAATACCTATATGCAACATTGCGCAGGCACTGCGAGCTAACAAGGCAGCCAACAAGGCAGAGTCGGTGAAATGGTCATGTGTCTTGACAACTGACATAGCGCGCTTGGCTGCGCAAGCCAATGGCGAGGGCAACACTTTGCTCCTTAGCCTCTGCAAGCATAGTGAAGCCAAAGCTCGGATGGTGTGCGAATCATTCGACTGGCAACGGCCGCTGTAAGGAAGCAGTCCTTGCATTACTTGTGCTGTGTAACTTACATCTGCATCAGCATTCTTCTGCTGCTTGAGGTCGGTTGGTGGAAGTTGGGTCTGGGGCCCAAGCACTGTGAGACAGCAGCCCAACATGCGTCTGCCGGGCATCCTCACAAATGCTTCATTCAGAAATGCGCTGGACGGACTCCTGCCTCATGCGTCTGCCTTGCTGAGCCCAAAGATCTGGCAGGGCGGATGGCAAGCGCCCTGGAAAGTGTTTCATACAATGCACGCTGTGCCACTGATGCGTATGAATTTATTCACTTGTCATTATCAACAAGCCCAAGAAAGCTTCACAGTTGCGCACCTTCATCATGGCTGAGGTGCTCGCTATGCTTAACACAGAAACATCCTCTTGGGCAACACTCGGAGTTCCTTTGCAAGGGCCCTCTCGCGCGCTCTTCCACCTCAACGAGCTCAGCTGGCTAATTACCCGCGGTTCGGCGAACTGAGCAAGTGTGCGTGAAAAAAGCCAAACACTTCGGCGTTGGGCCGAGCTTCTGACGTCACCGGCACGCCTGTTCAGAAACCTGCCCCACACACATGATGACCGTATCACCCCGCTTTACAGCGCCGGGCAGGCCTTGCCAATGGAACAGAGGTGAAAGGAGTGAGCTGTCCTGTTCCATTCCTTGTTTTGCTTGGAGTTGTGCTGCAGCTATGGAAATTTGCGTTGTTTACCTACATCAGCTTCCAACAGGTTTTCCGTTGGAATTGAAAGTTGGCTCTTGCACAGAAAGCCGCAGCCCGCTGAGACTTCCGCAGACCCTTCTGCATCCTTGTTGTGCGCCAATCCCTTCCGCAGCCGCAGACTTCCGCGGCACATGTCTTTCATCGGTTGCTTGAGCTTACAAGATTTGCTTCAGTATTGCGTATTGCCTGCCATATCACTCCGCTTTTCAGCGTCGGGAAGGCCTGGCCATTGGAACAAAGGTAAAAGGAGCTAAAGTGAGCTGTCCTCTTCCATTTCTTGTTTTGCTTGGAGTTGTGCTGCAGCTATGGAAATTTGCGCCGTTTACCCACATCAGCTTCTTTGGCTGCCTCTAGCTTCCAACTGGTTTTCCGTTGGAATTTGCCGGCTCCCGAAAGTTTGCACAGAAAGCAGGCTGCTAGAAGGCGATGTGTCACGCGCTTTCATGATCTGAGCTGCTGATTTGTTGTTCGTTTTATATCACGATGGATGGTCAAGGATCTGTTGTCAGCCGGTCGGTGAATCCCTCCGGTCGCCAACACAAAGCGGGCTGCACCCAAACAGAGTCCCCAGCTGGGGCCTCATCTCCCCCCGCCCAGGATGCTGCTGGGAGGGGCAATTGCCTCACACAAGGCCCTCAGTTTCCTCGGTGGCCAGCGGGTCCTCCTTCAATCCCTTGTCAGACTGTTGGCATTTTAACAAGCCAAATTTGCGGCGACAATGCCAGCAGTCACGACCACACTGTTGCAGTTGAGTTCAACAACACATTGGTGCGGGAAGCCTGACCGCTAATCCGTGACATGGGCGTTTGGATGGCCATGTCAGCACGCACTATATGTACGCCGCAAACCAAAGCGACGTCAGCTATTGCCTCCAAGCCAACGGCAGCGAGCATAGCATGCTCAATGTTTTTGCCTGAACATCCAAGGTCAACCCTAGATTCCTGCTTCACGTCCTGGGTAGAATACTGCAAAAACCCGACCAGCGAGGTGCAAAGGTGCAAAGGTGATGATCCTGCAGCAGCCGCCAATGCAAACCAGCGAAGGGCCACCGACTCAACAGGGGTCCACTACTTGTTGGCCTGCACTTGACTCAGTCTATGCTCTTGGCGCGGGTGACAATGTTGGAACGCCCCTCCCAGGTTTCGAAGGCTCGGTAAACCCTGGTGTACCCTGTCCAATGGAAGTGGACAAAAATGACCCCCTCAAAAACCAGAGTGACCAATCATGAAAAGCGGACAACATGACCTCCCCAACAAAAAAGCAAGAAGTATAGTTGTCCCACACCTTCCAAACGTCTCTGCACTCGGGCGGTTTTCGGCACGAACAAATTGTCAAAGCGAATTCCCGAAATCCTGCCTTGGCACGCGGCGATCGGCCCTGCCAAGGTACCCAAAAAACACATCAGACACTAAAACTTTGCGGCGCGTTTCAACAAACCCCCGAACCGACCTGTTTCGGAAGACACGCGTTCTGTCAGCAAATGTCTTGCAGCTCTGACTTTTTGCTCTCTCGACACGACGCTCTTCGAGGATGTCCCACCAGCCATAAGGCTGCCCCAAGTCCCGTGTCCTGTTTTCCGCAAACCCAGCGCAGCGCACAGCTGGCACTGCAGGGTTAGTCGATGTCTTTCTCAGAGTTGGCCCCTCTTCGGTGGTTGCGAAGAGCAAACTGTACGGAAACCAAACATGTTGGGGCCCCTCATGTTGAGACATACCGAAATGGCTTCATGCGTGGCCAGCCACAAGCAAGTCCTGAGCACGTCGGCTCGAAAAGCGCTGCTTCGATGGATGGGTGTGAGGTCTTCGCTTCTGGCCCGATCCACACATATCTGGCGCTGGAATGGTCAAAGCTGCCACGATGGGCTTCAAATCTTCCATGGAAGAACTGCGGCAACTCTCCGAAGTTGGGCAAACTTTGCAGGGACTCGTGCAAATACCATCTTCTCAAGAGGGTCTGTGAACAACGCACGATACGAGAGGCCCCCGATATCATAGTGGTCTTCCCATGGCACGCGGCTGGGCTACCTAGCCTCCTTCTGCTGGAAACATTTGGAAACCCTTCTCGCAACCATGGCATTCCACGCCAAAGAAACTTCTCCAGGCGCCTGTGGGATTGCAGCTCGAGGTCTTGGACTAGAAGCCCACAGGCACTGTCGGCCTGCGAGCACTTCCTCCGATGCCATGGGGCAAAGGCAGCTTGCTGCATCACGCAAGTCCGGCATGGTGTTCTCAACCTGCGACAGCTGATTGGCGTTGGAGAAGCGATTGAAAGCGTCAAGCTGCCAGGCACGGCATTCCGGCGACTCTGTGCATCCCCATGCAAAACATATTGCTTTGGACAAGTTCCCTGCGGTGTCGCTCCGTTCCCCCACCCCACACTTGTCGCAAATCTAAGCAGACCAAGACTTGCCAGGAACGTCGAAATGGCAAGTCTAAACAGACGGCAAACACGCGCCCGGGTAATGCTACTTTTACCCGTGGTTCCCAGCAAAGCTAAGCTCACTCCCTGGGCGGCTGGGATGCCAGCGAGTCAAGGTGAAAGGGGGCGCGCCATGCGCCAGCCTCGAGCCGGGCCTTGGCGCTTGCACTGATGCGTCTTTGTTGTACTTGCGGCTTCTCTTTGGCCCCTGAACTTAAGCGCGCTGGCATCAATTTGCTCAGAGCCCTATGCTCCCTACGTGTCCTGCGAAAAACAGCAATGCGCCAAACGTGAAACAAGACAATGGCGAGCCCAAAAAAAGGAAACGAACAAGTCAATTCAACACGCTGCTTCCCAAACTTCTGCGATAGCAATGCGGCCCGCGCCTTGAAGAGAGACTTGCGCTTCTAATGACGTAATAGTGTGTTCGCATCTGCTTGCGTCGATGACACCTGCCCCTCGCGCCGTGCTCGACGGGTCGTAAGCGCAAATAGATTTGCTGTTGGAAGCACAGCCACGTTCACCTTGGCGCGTGGGGATGTTGGCTTCGGAGCAGCTGCCCGCGCTGTACTTTTGCTCGGTGCGCAGTGAAAACGAGCGCTTGCACTATGACCTAAAGAGGACCTCGCCAATTTACCAGGAGGTCCTAAAGTACCTATATGCAACATTGCGAAGGCACTGCGAGCTAACCAGGCAGCCAACAAGGCAGAGTCGGTGGAATGGTCATGTGTCTCAACAACTGACATAGCGCGCTTGGCTGCGCAAGCCAGCATGTCAAGGGCAAAACTTTGCTCCTTAGCCTCTGCAAGCATAGTGAAGCCAAAGCTCAAATGGCGTGCGAAACATTCGACTGGCAACGGCCGCTGTAAGGAAGCAGTCCTTGCAGTTCTTGTGTTGTGTAACTTGCATCTGCATCAGCATTGTTCTGCTGCTTGAGGTCGGTTGGTGGAAGTTGGGTCTGGGGCCCAAGCACTGTGAGACAGCAGCCCAACATGCGTCTGCCGGGCATCCCTACAAATGCTTCATTCAGCAATGCGCTGGACGGACTCCTGCCTCATGCGTCTGCCTTGCTGGGCCCAAAGATCTGGCAGGGCGGATGGCAAGCGCCCTGGAAAGTGTTTCATACGATGCACGCTGTGCCACTGATGCGTATGAATTTATTCACTTGTCATTATCAACAAGCCCAAGAAAGCTCCACAGTTGCGCACCTTCATCATGGCTGAGGTGCTTGCTATGCTTAACACAGAAACATCCTCTTGGGCAACACTCGGAGTTCCTTTGCAAGGGCCCTCTCGCGCGCTCTTCCACCTCAACGAGCTCAGCTGGCTAATTACCCGCGGTTCGGCGAACTGAGCAAGTGTGCGTGAAAAAAGCCAAACACTTCGGCGTTGGGCCGAGCTTCTGACGTCACCGGCACGCCTGTTCAGAAACCTGCCCCACACACATGATGACCGTATCACCCCGGCGCAGAGCAGGCCTTGCCAATGGAACAGAGGTGAAAGGAGTGAGCTGTCCTGTTCCATTCCTTGTTTTGCTTGGAGTTGTGCTGCAGCTATGGAAATGTGCGTTGTTTACCTACATCAGCTTCTTTGGTGTGGCTGCCTCTAGCTTCCAACAGGTTTTCCGTTGGAATTGAAAGTTGGCTCTTGCACAGAAAGCCGCAGCCCGCTGAGACTTCCGCACACCCTTCTGCATCCTTGTTGTGCGCCAATCCCTTCCGCAGACTTCCGCGGCACATGTCTTTGTTGCTTGAGCTTACAAGATTTGCTTCAGTATTGCGTATTGCCTTCCATATCACTCCGCTTTTCAGCGCCGGGCAGGCCTTGCCATTGGAACAAAGGTGAAAGGAGCTAAAGTGAGCTGTCCTGTTCCATTCCTTGTTTTGCTTGGAGTTGTGCTGCAGCTATGGAAATTTGGGCCGTTTACCCACATCAGCTTCTTTGGCTGCCTCTAGCTTCCAACAGGCTTTCCGTTGGAATTTGCCGGCTCCCGAAAGTTTGCACAGAAAGCAGGCTGCTAGAAGGCGATGTGTCACGCGCTTTCATGATCCGAGCTGCTGATTTGTTGTTCGCTGAATATCACGATGCATGGTCAAGGATCTGTTGTCAGCCGCATTCTTCGAGCCCCTTCTTGTCGGTGAATCTCTCCAGTCGCCAACACAAAGCGGGCTGCACCCAAACGGAGTCCCCAGCTGGGGCCTCATCTCCCCCCAACCCGGATGCTGCTGGGAGGGGCAACTCACACAAGGCCCTCAGTAGCCTCGGTGGCCAGCGGGTCCTCCTTCAATCCCTTGTCAGACTGTTGGCATTTTAACAAGCCAGCTTTGCGGCGACAATGCCAGCGGTCACGACCACACTGTTGCGTTTGAGTCCAACAACGCATGGGTGCGGGAAGCCTGACCGCTAACCCGTGACATGGGCGTTTGAATGGCCATGTCAGCACGCACTATATCTACGCTGCAAACCAAAACGACGTCCGCTATTGCCTCCAAGACAACGGCAGCGAGCATGGCATGTTCAATGCTTTTCCTTGAACATCCTAGGTCATCCTGAAAGGAAAACACAAGGGATGGTGTAGCAGGTTCATTCCCTCATGTTCTGCTGAGCACCAGCAAGTCTGGGCAGTTCAGGATGTAGCGGCATCTTCTTGTCTTGGGATAGATATGGTGTGCTCAGCAGATTCCTGCTGCACGTCCTGGGTAGAATACTGCAAAAAACCGACCAGCAAGGTGCAAAGGCGCAAAGGTGATGATAGCAGCCGCCAATGCAAACCAGCGAAGGGCCGCCGACTCAACAGGGGTCCACTACTTGTTGGCCTGCACTTGACTCAGTCTATGCTCTTGGCGCGGGTGACAATGTTGGAACCTCCCAGGTTTCGAAGGCTCGGTAAACCCTGGTGTACCCTGTCCAATGGAAGTGGACAAAAATGACCCCCTCAAAAACCAGAGTGACCAATCATGAAAAGCGGACAACATGACCTCCCCAACAAAAAAGCAAGAAGTATAGTTGTCCCACACCTTCCAAACGTCTCTGCACTCGGGCGGTTTTCGGCACGAACAAATTGTCAAAGCGAATTCCCGAAATCCTGCCTTGGCACGCGGCGATCGGCCCTGCCAAGGTACCCAAAAAACACATCAGACACTAAAACTTTGCGGCGCGTTTCAACAAACCCGCGAACCGACCTGTTTCGGAAGACACGCGTTCTGTCAGCAAATGTGTTGCAGCTCTGACTTTTTGCTCTCTCGACAGGACGCTCATCGAAATATAGAAGCAGGAATGGTAGCATGTCCCACCAGCCATGAGGCTGGCCCAAGTCCCGTGTCCTGTTTTCCGCAAAACCAACGCAGCGCACAGCTGGCACTGCAGGGTTCGCCGATGTCTTTCTCAGAGTTGGCCCCTCTTCGGTGGTTGCGAAGAGCAAACTGTACGGAAACCAAACATGTTGGGGCCCCTCATGTTGAGACATACCGAAATGGCTTCATGCGTGGCCAGCCACAAGCAAGTCCTGAGCACGTCGGCTCGAAAAGCGCTGCTTCGATGGATGGGTGTGAGGTCTTCGCTTCTGGCCCGATCCACACATATCTGGCGCTGGAATGGTCAAAGCTGCCACGATGGGCTGCAAATCTTCCATGGAAGAACTGCGGCAACTCTCCGAAGTTGGGCAAACTTTGCAAGGACTCGTGCAAATACCATCTTCTCAACAGGGTCTGTGAACAACGCACGATACGAGAGGCCCCCGATATCATAGTGGTCTTCCCATGGCACGCAGCTGGGCTACCTAGCCTCCTTTTGCTGGAAACATTTGGAAACCCTTCTCGCAACCATGGCATTCCACGCCAAAGAAATTTCTCCAGGCGCCTGTGGGATTGCAGCTCGAGGTCTTGGACTAGAAGCCCACAGGGCACTGTGGGCCTGCGAGCACTTCCTCCGATGCCATGGGGCAAAGGCAGCTTGCTGCATCACGCAAGTCCGGCATGGTGTTCTCAACCTGCGACAGCTGATTGGCGTTGGAGAAGCGATTGAAAGCATCAAGCTGCCAGGAACCGCATTCCGGCGACTCTGTGCATCCCCATGCAAAACATATTGCTTTGGACAAGTTCTCTGCGGTGTCGCTCCGTTCCCCCACCCCACAGTTGTTGCAAATTTAAGCAGACGGACAAACATGCGTCCGGGCAAGCTGTAGCGGCACGGCAGCAGGTGGGAAACCAGTCCAGCCCAGACTTGCCAGGAACGTCGAAATGGCAAGTCTAAACAAACGGCAAACAGACGACGGCAAGCACGCGCCCGGGTAATGCTACTTTTACCCGGACAGGACGTGGATCGCTTGCAGCCGGAATGTAGTCGCTCGCCGGCGCAAGCCAAGCCCAGCAAAGCTGACTCCGGCTGACTCCCCGAAAACCTGGTTGTTGGGAAATCCCCACGTCAACCAGGGTTTAATAGGGGTGTGCCCTGACACCCCAACTGCTGTGGGGTGTCCCTTTGGGAAATGCGGCAAAGCACCCCATGACCCTGGGCGGCGGGGATGCCAGCGAATCAAAGTCAAAGGGGGCACGCCATGCGCCAGCCGCGAGCCGGGCATTGGCGCTTGCTGACTGATGCGTCGTTGTTGTACTTGCGGCTTCTCTTTGGCCCCTGAACTTAAGCGCGCTTGCATCAATTTGCTCAGGGCCCTATGCTCCCTACGTGTCCTGCGAAAAACAGCAATGCGCCAAACGTGAAACAAGACAATGGCGAGCCCAAAAAAAAGGCCACGAACAAGTCAATTCAACACGCGCTGCTTCCCAAACTTCTGCGACATCAACGCGACCCGCGCTTTGAAGAGAGACTTGCGTTTCTAACGACGTAATAGTGTGTTCGCATCTGCTTGCAACGTCGATGACACCTGCCTCTAGCGCAGTGCTCGTAGATTTCCTGCGGTGCAAAGTTGGATGCCTGTTGCGCAGTACACGTGCTGGCTGGGCGCTCTTGTGGCCGCCGTCAGTAAGCGCAGCCACGTTCACCTTGGTTTGCTCACACTTCGCTCCCACGCAGGAGGCGCGTGGGGATGTTGGCTTCGGGCAGCTGCTGCCCGCGGTGTACTTTTGCTCGGTGCGCAGTGAAAACGAGCGCTTGCACTATGACCTAAAGGGAACCTTTCAAATTTACCACAAGGTCCTAAAGTACCTATATGCAACATTGCGCAGGCACTGCGAGCTAACAAGGCAGCCAACAAGGCAGAGTCGGTGGAATGGTCATGTGTCTCGACAACTGACATAGCGCGCTTGGGTGTGCAAGCCAGCATGTCGAGGGCAACACTTTGCTCCTTAGCCTCTGCACGCATAGTGAAGCCAAAGCTCAGATGGCGTGCGAATCATTCGACTGGCAACGGCCGCTGTAAGGAAGCAGTCCTTGCATTACTTGTGTTGTGTAACTTACATCTGCATCAGCATTATTCTGCTGCTTGAGGTCGGTTGGTGGAAGTTGGGTCTGGGGCCCAAGCAATGTGAGACAGCAGCCCAACATGCGTCTGCTGGGCATCCTCACAAATGCTTCATTCAGCAATGCGCTGGACGGACTCCTGCCTCATGCGTCTGCCTTGCTGGGCCCAAAGATCTGGCAGGGCGGATGGCAAGCGCCCTGGAAAGTGTTTCATGCAATGCACGCTGTGCCACTGATGCGAATGAATTTATTTATCAACAAGCCCAAGAAAGCTTCACAGTTGCGCACCTTCATCATGGCTGAGGTGCTCGCTATGCTTAACACAGAAACATCCTCTTGGGCAACACTCGGAGTTCCTTTGCAAGGGCCCTCTCGCGCTCTTCCACCTCAACGAGCTCAGCTGGCTACCCGCGGTTCGGCGAACTGAGCAAGTGTGCGTGAAAAAAGCCAAACACTTCGGCGTTGGGCCGAGCTTCTGACGTCACCGGCACGCCTGTTCAGAAACCTGCCCCACACACATGATGGCCGTATCACCCCGCTTTACAGCGCCGGGCAGGCCTTGCCAATGGAACAGAGGTGAAAGGAGTGAGCTGTCCTGTTCCATTCCTTGTGTTAAGGCATGTTGCACTGCTCCTAGCTTGAACCCAAACATGAACACCCAAAAGAACAAAGCAAGTCCAAAGCGGCCGCAGTTCTTTTTACCGGGATTGCTGAAAGTAGCACTGCTTCCAGGGCAATGGTGCGCCTGGAACAGGAGGTGCGTTGACCCCCCGTGAAACTAAAAAGGCAAGACAATGCGTGTCCTTGCAAATGAATGCAGTGCTTGCAGGGCGTGGCACGCGTGCCCACGCCCAACGGTCCGGAGACCGAATGGTCCGGAGACCAGAGTCGGTCCGGAGACCAGAGTTGGTCCGGAGACCTGGTCCGGAGACCAAGCGGTCCTGAGACCACCAACGAAAGTGCAGAGCGTCTGCGACCTATGCTTGCAGAGCCTTGTATGAGGCAGTGCTTATCAAATTTCGTGGATCCCTTCTGGAAGCCGTTTTTCCATTTCCGACAAAAAAATAAACACGAAATCCAAAGAATACATTCTTGGAGTTGCCAAATTGTCAACAAAGACAACCTACGATTTCACCCACGGAGGCAAAGCGAAATAGACGATGGATAATGTGCCAAAGGCAAAGCTTTTAATCATCGTTGGCATCAGATTGATTGAAGTAAACCATCCATGGTATCATGTGGCCCCAGGGCCCCATGCCAAAGCCACATGGGTCCCACATGGGTCCCCTCAACATGTGTCAACACCCAGTTGGCCCTACTTCCCAAGCCGCCCCAGCCCAAACCCTAAGGATTCAACAGTGGATGGAGCTCAACACGAACAGCCTCAAAAAATCCTCTCCAAAACACATAGGAACAAAAGGTGGGACACGCGTGACCGCCACCGCCACCACTGGGCCACCACAATTGAGGATAATGGCCCTGGACCCTGGATCACCCTTTTCACGAAAGAACTGAATAAACATATATGACCCACATGGTGCCTTGAGCCTACAGCATTGCTTTTAAATTCCCAATATGCGTGGCACGGGTATAGTTGGGTTTGTTTGGAAACTTCCGTGCCAAATGGATGCCTTGCTTGACCAAAGTTGATTGCCAAACTGTTGACTCGCCACAGGCCCACAAACCAAGCATATGCAGCTCAGCGGAATCAAACAATTCAGGAGTTCAGTTCACAAAACAATAATATCGGCCGATTGGCCGGCCGAAGCGGCAAAAAACGAACAACATGTGTATATATATATATATATGATATTTTATTATTCATCATCATTGTCTGATTAATTATCTAGTCCACTATGAATGCAGGCACGGCATTGGTCACGGCATGTGCCTCAAATGAAAAGGTCGCCTCGATGGCTCTGTACTGCACATAGCTTTTCGCACGAAAGTCTTCGCTGCAAGTTGCAAGGCCAAAATGTCAGATATATCCTCCAGCTCCATCTTCATCTGTGTTCTCGGATCCGCACCGCCAGCTTTCCTCCATTCGCCGTTCAACTCGATGCACTTCTGCTGATACAGCTGCAATTCGCATCAATAGCTGATCTTTCCGAATCCATACTGGAGATGGCCCGCGCGTTGTAATCCGCCATGTCCTGGTATATCTCGTCTTCACAGAATGTTCGCAATGTCCTCAGCTCAGCTGAGAACTTCCCGATCAGCTTTCTCTCACGCCATCTGGTCCAAATGAAGAGAGAAATGATGAAAATACATGACAGCCACCAATCTGAAATCCAGCGGTAAAATGCAACATCCTTCATGTACTGCATGTATTGAATGTGTTGCATGTACTCGCACGCCATCTCCCGCATGCTCGACAGACAAATGAAGAGAGAACTGATGAAAATACATGACAGCCACCAATCTGAAATCCAGCGGTAAAATGTAACATCCTTCATGTACTGCATGTGTTGCATGTACTCGCACGCCATCTCCCGCATGCTCGACAGACTCGACATAGCCATGCTCAAGTTTATTCAAGGCAAGGCTCCCATAGCTGTATCCGTATATATAAGTGTTGTGAGGATGTTCAGATGCGTTTAATTTTTCGTTGTGCATTGTGCAGAGTTCCTGTCAGGCTGTAGTGAACAGTTGCATTTACATGAATGAATATGTCTGACGGTTGAATCTGGTGCTGTACATGTTGCGTTTCACGCATGGAGCCGATCAGGTTGGCACACAAAGAGTTTCATGCAGAGCTTGTCAAAGAGCATGACAATCGCAACATCAAGTGTCAAGTGACATCAAGGCAGTTTGTACACGAATGTATGAGCATCATATTTTTCTTGGCGCATTGATGAGTCAGCTCGTAGACGCAGACCGCATCAACGTGTTGCTCAGCTACTGCAGCTCCAGCCCCGCTAAGAGGCACACCAGGCATGCGTCCTGCTAATGCCCATAGAAACACCTATCACACAGGTCCCAACACAGTTCAGGCAGGGCTGGAGCACTGAGCACGTGATATGTCAGGGCATGCAGCATGTCTGCTGTTCATGCCATATTACATAAGCCAAATCCCAGTGCAAGGCTGCTGATAGTCCTAACGTTTAAATTTGCTCATTGGCGCAAATTGGCGCTTGTCATTAGCAGCCTTGGCCAAACCCCCTGCTCAACGCCTCAGCCTCAATCCTCACGATCGCACACGCGGGTTGCTTGAAGAAGCCGCTTTGCCTCCTTCCAGGGCGCACAACAAGAAAAAGTTCGAAGATTGTGTGGGTGAGTCCATGTTGGTGCCTTTTGCAAACAAAGTTGGAACAATGCATCTTGGCACTGCGGGGCCTCTTCGTTCGGGGCTTGCTGTGGCATCCGTCTCTTGCCTTTTCCCGGTAAATAATGCGTCAGCGTACTTTGAAATGCAGCGCTGTGTTGTGACTGAGTAAGGGGGCAGGCTGTGGCTTGGGGAAAGGCTTTTTGAACCGATCCCAGCCTGTCCAGCGAAGCCTGATCCCACGCTTGCTTTTGCCCTCATCACTCTCTTCCTGCTGCTCGATCCTCGCAATCTCCTCAGCAAGGTCTTGCAGCTCGTTGTCATCCACAGGCGCCGCCTTGTCACCATGCGGGCGCTTTGGCTTTTTGGCCACTGACGCCTTTGCGTTTGCATGTGCGGGCTTCTTCTTTTGATCAGCCGCTTTAGCTTTGGCACGCTTCTTTGCCGCGGCAGTATTTTTCTTCTCTGCTGCTGCCACTGCCACTGCCTTCTTCTTCCCATCCTCCTGCTTTTTGGCTGCACAGGCTGCACGGTTTGCTGCCGCTGCTGCCCTTTTCTCCTCCTGCTTTTTGGCTGCAACTGCCGCAGCCGCTGCTGCTGCCTTCTCCTCCTCCTCCTGAACTGCTGCTGCCGCTGCTTTGGCTGCAACTGCTGCTGATGCTGCCTTCTCCTTCTCCTCCTGCTTTCTCAGTGCCGCGGCTGCTGCTGCCTTCTCCTCCTCCTCCTGAACTGCCGCTGCCGCTGCTTTCTTATCCTCTTGTTTTTTGGCTGCAACTGCTGCGACTGCCGCTGCTGCTGCCTTATCCTCCTCCTCCTCCTCCTGCGTTCTCACAGGAACTGCCGCTGCTGCCGCCTTCTCCTCCTGCTTTTTGGCTGCAACTCCTGCTGATGCTGCCTTCTCCTCCTCCTGAACTGCCGCTGCCGCTGCTTTGGCTGCCTTCTCCTCCTCCTCCTCCTGCTTTCTCAGTGCAACTGCCGCTGCTGCCGCTGCTGCTGCCTTCTCCTCCCCTCCTGAACTGCCGCTGCCGCTGCTTTCTTATCCTCTTGCTTTTTGGCTGCAACTGCCGCTGCTGCTGCCTTCTCCTCCTCCTCCTGAACTGCTGATGCCGCTGCTTTGGCTGCAACTGCTGCTGCTGCTGCCTTCTCCTCCTCCTCCTCCTGAACTGCTGCTTTCTTGTCCTCTTGCTTTTTGGCTGCAACTGCTGCAACTGCTGCTGCTGCTGCCCTTTCCTCCTCCTCCTGCTTTCTCTCTGCAACCGCTGCCGCTGCTTTAACTGCAACTGCTGCTGATGCTGCCTTCTCCTCCTCCTCCTGCTTCCTCAGTGCAACTGCCGCTGCTGCTGCCTTCTCCTCCTCCTCCTGCTTTCTCTCTGCAACTGCCGCTGCTGCTGCCTTCTCCTCCTCCTCCTGCTTTCTCTCTGCAACTGCCGCTGCTGCTGCCTTCTCCTCCTCCTCCTGCTTTCTCTCTGCAACTGCCGCTGCTGCTGCCCTCTCCTCCTCCTCATGCTTTCTCTCTGCAACTGCCGCTGCTGCTGCCTTCTCCTCCTCCTCCTCAACTGCCGCTGCTGCTGCCGCTGCCTTCTCCTCCTCATGCTTTCTCTCTGCAACTGCCGCTGCTGCTGCCTTCTCCTCCTCCTCCTCATCCTGCTTTCTCTCTGCAACTGCCGCTGCTCTGCCGCTGCCTTCTCCTCTCACTCTCACTGCAACTTTCGCTGATGTTGCCTTCTCCTCCTGCTTGTTGTCTTCCTCCTGTCTTTTCGTTTCTGCAGCTGTTTTCTCTTCCTCTTGTTGTTTGGCTACAACTGCCGCTGCTGCCTTATCCTCCTCCTCCTCCTGCTTTCTCGCTGCCTGCCGCCGCTGCTCATGCTCGGCCGACGCAACTGCTGCTGATGCCTCCTCCTGCTGCGCTCTTGCTGCAACTGCCGCTGATGCTGCCTTCTCCTCCTGATTGTTGGGCGTGTTGTCTTCCTCCTGTCTTTTCGTTTCTGCTGTTGCCTTTTCCTCCTCATTGATTTTGGCCGCAACTGCCGCTGTTGCCTTATCATCCTCCTCCTGCTTTCTCACTGCCTGCCGTTTCCCTTCTGTTGCGTCATGCTCGGCCGATGCAGCTGATGCGTTGTCTGCTTCAAACTTTGCAAGCCACACTTCTGCTGTGAGAAACTCTTCCCCCTCGCCTGTCGCGATCATCGTTTCTGCTACTTGCTGCTTATCCTCATCTGCTGCATCGGA